GTTTCCTTAAAGTTGCCTGAAGACATAATTCATTCCATCTTGAGCCTCGACCCTTCTGCTATACCCCTTTCACTCCAGCGAAGGGACTTCTTCACAGAAAAACAATTCTTATCCTTAACTCATGGTTTCAGTCCCAGGCAGCTGAGCACATAGAACTCACTCGATATGCTGTGAATAGTTCTCGTATGATGCACAAAGCTCAGTGTAGCCTCGGTACAGAATTTTATAAGGAAACATCCGAGGCTCATGGAAAACATTTCAGAAAGTGAAGAAGTCTTTGCTAACACTATTTTTCCTGTGTCTAATGTTGTTTCTGCCCTCTTTCCTTATCCTTTTTGCTCATTAATACTCAGGCTCAAGAGGGAATTCTCATGGGAAAGTTTACTTACCAGACCCTCCTCCAGCTGCAGCAGATGCCTCTACCAGCCAGAATACCACACATGTTGCAAGAGATTGAAAACTTAACACCATGTGGGGCAGGGTTGAAACTGACCATGAGCATTTTGGGGGTGCAGCTAAAGGGGGGTTAAGTTAGAGATGCTCTCGGTTTGGGGTACACATAAGTGTTGTACCATTGCTTCATTATAGAGTTAGATTATTAGTCTCCATCCAGGAATACTTCTGTATGTCACCCAGCATTATGTACAAAGGCGGAGGGCCAGGGATCACATTATAATATGAAAATGTCTGACAGTGGCAGAGTCATGGTGGAGAAACAGAGTTTGACATGCACAGGGCCAGGCACAAAGCGTCCTAGAGTAATTAATGCAAACGTTGTGGTCTTTTCCTGGATTTTATAATACGTACAATGGTTGTCATTCTTTTTTTCAAAAAGCCCTCATTGTTATATCAATTTTGAATGTAAATGTTTGCATTTTTATTAAAGGAAAACCCCCCAAAATTATGTGAATTTCGGGACCCACAAAACCCAGATGTGCCTTGGTTCATGTCAGATACAGGAGCCAGACGCAGATCCCGCACCCTGGTAGGTACAGCGTCTCAGAACTGTCTGTGGTGCTGGAAAACTGTGTCACTTGCCTCTCTCCATGGTACTTACTGCATCAGCACGTCTCAGCCCAGACACCAAACATCGGGATTACCAACTGAGGTCATGGTTAATGCAAAGGAATGGGTGCCTTGCCCATGCAGTGACTGTCTAAAGGAAAGAGGGATGAAGAGAAAACACTCCCAAGTGTCACGGAAACCTAAAAGACAGGGGCACCAAGGGAGTATCGGCTCAAGCAAAACAGTGACTGCCAAGCCATGCCTGAGTCTAGACCAAGGGTAGGAAGGAGGGAGTAGGTGAGCAGGGGAAGTAGCAAGAATGGCACAGACTGGGGATGCCAGCTTTCCGAAGGAAAAGAGAGAGTGACTGAGGGGATGGGCTAAGAGGGAGCCCCGGGGCCAGAATGAAGACCCTGCCCATTGAGTTAGTGGAGGACCGACGGAAGCTGAGACCTCACTCCCACATCCCCAGGGATGTGAGTCAGCATTGATGTAAATGATGGGTTTATACCAGTCTTCTGGTGTCCATGAGGATGTGTGGCTGACTGTCAGAACCTTGTTTTAGCTTGCTTGTTTCTGATTTGAGAAGAGCATTCAGTTTCTTTGGAAGTCGGGGTTGTTTGGACAGTGAGAGAAAGTCAGTGTCTGGCCCCCATTAGTGAATTTCTTCCAGCTTCAGCAGCCAAGGTGGGGCCCCCCTAGGTCACTGCTGTGGGAGCTATGACCTAGCAGGCAATGGAATCTAAGGAGTCGATTCCCAGGAGAAACATGAGAAATGCAAGGTCCACACCAGGGCTGGGGAGGGTTAGGGCTGATACAGGCTTTTCACTGAAACATAGTGGTGGTGCCAAGGGGGGACCTCCGGTAAGAGGAGGCTGTCATTGCTTCTGCGCCACAAATCCATCACCAACCCCACCTCCTCCAAACAGTCTAAGTCAAAACAGCGTGTCAGCTCAGCCAGTGAACCTTCGAGCTTAAGTGCCCTTTGTCGTGCATTGAAATGTTCCCCCACCCCCACAGACACATGGGGGCCCTAACTCCAGGTGCTGGTCAACACAATCTCCAACCTCCTTTGGAAATCAGGTCTTTGCAGAGCCAATTAACTAACACGAGGTCATACTGGATTAGGGTGGGTCCCGAATTCAATATGGCTGGCGTCCTCTGGAGAAGAGTAGAAGACAGAGAAGCAGAGGCAGACATAGAGAGAGAACATCATGAGGTGACTGAGGAGGAGACTGGACTGGTGCATCCACAAACTAAGGAATGCCAAGAATTGCCAGCAACACCGGAAGCCAAGACAAGGGCAGGGAATACATTTCCCCCGAAGGCCTTCGGAGAGCACTGGCCTGCCAACACCTTACTTTTACACTTTCAGCCTCCAGAGAATGCATCTCTGTGGTGTTACCCAATCCGGCTTATCTCGGTTTGTTGTGGCAACCCTAGGAAAGTGGTCTGCCCTCCCTTGGACAGCTTCATTTATCTCACAGTGTGGTGCCTTCACTGTTGCTGCTACCTCTCCATGGAATGCCCTTCCTGGAGGAGTTTGCAGGCAGCCCCAGAGGATGGGCCAGTGACACTAGGGGTGCAGAGCATTCAGATGCTCAACCGCCTGCAGTCTCGGATTGAACTTTCCTAGCTGCCCTATCTCAACTAACCTATTCCCAGTACAATCTACTCATCAACTGCTTTATTTCCTTAACAACACTCCCCTCCATCTGAAATCGCTGCATTTGTTTCCTTATTTACTTAGAATGTAACTTCTGAAAGCAGAGCCCTTCTCTCTGGTGCTCAGTGGTGACAGAACAACTCCTAGCACAGAGTAGGCGCTCAAGCAGTGGTTCATAAACAAACAGGCAGATGCTCAGCAAGTATCTGTTGAATAAATAAATGAAAGGCTCATGCCTTCTTGCTACCATCCTCCTTCTAATAAGATTGACACCCTAAAGCCTCTTCTTTATAGGAATTTAGTTAAAAATTATTTCAGAGACCAAGGAAATAATTCTCTACATTGGCCTTTACAAATCTGCATCCTGAGAGTTAGAAGGCCCAGCTGCTGCTGGTGTGGGCTGCTGACGGAGGACACCTGCCCCCTTGTCCTTCCACATGTCAAATCATAATCTTTGCCTCTTAGGACAGCAGACAGAGGGGGAGGGGCGTGAGGAAAGGTGGTTAGCCCCCTTTCTGTTCAGACCAGAACGACGCTGCGATGGGCATCCACCAGGGGGCAGTCTAACAAAGTTGGAAGACAAGCATCTAAATTGAGTTCACTTGAGGGCAACTGACAGCAATTACAAGACCAAAAAAGGGGGGGGGGGTTACATCATTACTCTGATAATCCTCCAAATTAAAAAGAGATTAAATAATGTAGAAGCCACGAGGGAGCAGAGGCTCCTGGGAGTTGTCCTCCTGGGCGAGCAGGAATGGAGGAAACGAAGGGACCTGAACGCGCCCTCACACCCCCCACCCCAGGGGGGGCTTCCCAGGGGCGGGATAAGCCGTCCCCTCAGCTCTGACTGAGGACTCTCCACAGTGATGCAGTGGTTCCAGTTGGAGACTGCGCCCCCTGGTTTGTTCCCGATGTGGTGGCATGGGACATCCAAGGGGTCACGCAGCCTTGCTTCACAGGGGTGATGAGCCCGGGACCACCCGCTGAACCCCTAGAGGTCTGGAGGTTCAAGGCTATGGCACAAGGTGCTGTTTGCCAGCCAGAATCCATTCTCTCCTTCCAGTGTCATCAGGGGTGCAGCAATGTGGAGCCATGAGATTACCTGTTGGCCAATGAGCTGGTGTGAGGCTTCTTGGGAAAGAAGATGCCTGGACTCAAAAGAGAAATTTTTTTCTGCCTTCTCTCACTTTCCCAAGCCTATGTCTGAAGGAGAACCAGCCAGCCTCCCAGCGGGGACACCCCACGAGGCACCTGGGCACGTTTGGCTGTAGCGCTGCCGTGCTATCTTCCCACGGACTCGGCTTCTTCAGGACGGCCCACCCAATCACGGGCGGGAGCTGGCTCGGCGCTCACTCAGGCCTGCAGCGGTGGGCCTTCGTTACCTCCATTCTGTGCAGTACAATCGCCAAACAGAGAACACTTCCAGACATCGGAGCCCGGCCTCCCCGAGGTAGAATCCAGAGCAGTCGAATGTCCAGCTGCCCTCGCAGAGAGCACAGCTACCGGACTCACTCGAGGCTCCAATTCAGAAGTGAGCACCTTGAGGAAAGAGGCTCCGTGTGGAATCTGATTGGCTGGTGAGAATGACGCAAGGCTACGTACGTATCTGCTTTCAGAACTGCGAGCCTGGGTCCCAGGCACCGAAGAAACACCGCTGGGTCAGCAGCGGTCAACAGCCTCGCCATCGCCCCCTGCAGGACACGGCTTCGACAGCTTCCCTGCCTCCTTCAGCATCACAGTTCTCTGAGGTGCCCGGCATCTCTTCCCTAATGAGCTCTCTAAATTCTTCTGACTTATCAGTGAAAATTCTCTTCTGTGGCTAGCAAAGTTTAGACTGACAGAAAAATGGGCTCGGGGGTTGTGACAATCGATAGAGCCTCAAGAAAGTGGGGCTGGTTAACTACTCCAGCAGCGGCTGAGGGCTCTGGGCACTCAGAGGCATTAGGGGGTGGGACTCTGGCAGCCAGCTGGTGATGTACCCGTGGCAACCTGGAATAAAAGCCTAGCCATAGGCACGCTTTGGGGATGTCTGGTGGCCATCCTTACTAAACAATACAGAGCCCACAACAAGGACTCTGGGGTGAGCTGCTTCCATTTCCAGGAACCTAAACCATCCACATGACCTTGATCCCACTCACGTTGCATGGCCCTAGCAGATCCCCTGGAGGCCAGCACTTAAATTTTCCAAGTTCACTCTCAGCTCACTTGGGCCCGTTCTCAGGCCTCTGCTTTGGAATCTAAAGGGGCGGGACCCAGGACATCAGATTTCTTCCCCATCCACCTCCTCTCCTCCCTGCCCTCCACTTCTGCCAAGTGACAGCCACCAGGAAAAATGATAAGACATTTATTGAGTCATCTACAGCAGTGTGACGTCCGTAAAGTCCCAGACAAGGTTGTGTGCACAGCATTGATGGCGGCGGCGGGAGCAGGAGGTCTGTGAGGTGGTCTTGGCTGTGGGGGAAGAAACCCAGGCTGCCCGGCTGACCTGCGGGACCTGGGAATGCCAGGGCTTGCCCTGCCCCAGCCCTCATGGGGGCAGAGCTACAGAAGACGGACACAGGACAAGACGCACATGACCAAGCACAGACACATCCCAGGACTTAAGTTCAAGGAAAGGAGGACTGGGGGCTCGGCCCACTGGAGGGACAACCCAAAGCTTTAAAGGATTTCCATGGAGGTGGCAGGGAAATGCTGGCATTACCCACACGGAAGCCTCCTTATCCTAACCACAAGAACAAACCGAGTCAGTGGACGGAGACAGACCTGCAGTCCTGTGTCCATCAGAGGCCTGACCTCCACCTTCCCTCCAGTGCTGGTGGTTTTTACAGATGGGACAAAACTTAACCCAGAAGGGCTCCAAGCATTTGGCAAACAGCACAGGGTACCCTGCAGGGGTCTTCACCCCAATCGCCAGCCCACACCTGTGTGGTGACCAAAGCCCATTCACCCGCAGGGCATCTCACTTCAACCCCATCCCTGTCCCACAGGACTGAATGCAAATCACGCCCTCCTGATTATTAGATTAGGAAGCAGAGGCCCAGAGAGGTTCAGCCCTGGTGCACAGAGCATGAGCTGAGGCCCAGGGCAGCAGGCAGGTCCCCCGAATGGCGGTGGCTCCATCACCTCTCCTGTCCTCCAGAGCGCTAACAACCTCTGCAGCCAGAGCCCCTTGAGAGCTGCACAGGGCTGACCATGTTCACAGAAGCTTTCCTGAGGGTCTCGCTTGGGCTCCTGTGCTGGGCTGGGCACATGTGGGCGGGCCCTGTCCTCATATCTGCAAAGCACACTGGGCCCCAGCTTGGCAGCAGGCACCAGACTAGGCCTGCCAGTGTTTCTTCGTAAGCCCAATGGGGAGGATTGACCTGCAGATCTCAACTTCTTCCCCTGCTGTAGTGCGTGGAGTTACCCCAGGTACATGGAGAAGGAGTCAAGGTCAAACAGGTCAGTCGCAAAACTGGGAGAAACCTAGGCCCTCTGCTCAAGTAGAAATTTACAGTGACAACACTCACTGTTCTCACTCTGGAGCGGCTTTAAGGGGGTCAGGGGTACCCCCAGAACAACAAAGGAAGCCTCTTCTGCTTTCCTTCAGGAAGGGAAAGGGTCAGCAGCCTCCTGCTGTAGGCTCTCAGGTGTAGGGCAAGCCTTGGGCCTGGCTCCAGCTCCCTGGGCTTGGTCCCCAGAGTCACCAGTACAGGGAGTTCAGAGACTGGAGAAGGAATCACCACAGGCCCCCAGGTATGTCAAGAAGGGTCACCAAGACAGAGAATGTGGCTTGGCCTCGGGACATGGGGACAGTCATGAAGTCTGCAGTGCTAGGGAGCCACTGAACCCCCCCAAACCTCACACTCTGACCCCTCCTGGGCTCCCTGACAGCCTCAGCATCCCTGACTTGGAGTCCCACCTCCCCCAGGGCTGGGGACATTCTCGACACTGCCACGCTGAGGCGCCCAAGGCAGAGGATGAGATACTTCCTCCTTCCAGGAGCACTGGGCCTCCCCTGGGTGCACTGTGTCCTCTGGGGTTGCAGGGAAGAAATGTAACTTCCTTTGTGATCATGACCTCCTAGAGTCAGGCAGTCGGGCCTCTACTCCTCTCCAGCCTACACTCTCCTGGGCCCTCGGCCTCCCTTCACTCCGTGTGCTTTCTCATCCTCTCAGGTCCAGGCAATGACCACGTCTGTGCCCAGGGCCCGTCCTCAGTAGGCAACTGGCTTTTGGACAGAGCCCCCAGGGTGCCCTGGCTGCACGAATCATCCAGTCTCACTGCCCATTTCACAGATTTGGAAACAAAAGATCAGAGAGGGAAGGGTTCACCCAGACTTCATGCTGGCCTCCCGTCGTCTGTGCTTTCGAAGGCCCCTGCCCGACCTGGGACCTGGGACATGGAGAGTGCGGCTGGCACAGCTGCTCACAAGCCTGGCAGGAGTCGGTTTGGAGAGAAAAGCAAACTGGCAAACCAATGGGAACCTGGAGCCTCCAAGAGGACCCAGGCCCAGGGCTCAGATGGGCAGCATGTGCGGTTCAGGGATTTTTGATTTCTGCTGTTTTGTGATGGTCTCTGGATAAAAAGTCCAAGCCTCTTCCACAGTACGGCAGACCCGTTGAGTGGCAAGGATGAAAATATAAGGCCCATAGTTGGGGCTGCTTTCGGAATTTGGAAGTGACCACTGCCCACCCAGTCACAGCACCCTGGGGCTCTGGCCAGGGAGGGCTGCACACCATGCCAAGGCACCTATTCAGTGGTTCTGGGCCCAACCTTTCCCTCTGGCTCACCAGCGCCCACTGTGGTGTCCAAACAAAAGGGACAGACATTCCATTTCTAAGAATAAACAGTGCCCCCCCATACACACATACAAACATACACATCAAAACCTTGGCTGATACATATGACACATGCCCTTTCCCTGCCTCAGACCCTAACTGGAGAATGGCAGACGTGCAGAGCCCGAGGCAGCATCCGAAGGCCCCTCCCCTCACCAGTGGGGAAACTGGGGCCCAGACAAGGAGTGCAGTCTGTGGTCTCCTGGTCTGAGGCGGACCAGGAAGATCCTGTCTTCGAATCCCAGCCTGTGGCCCCTGCCAAGCAGCCCAGGCCCCTCAGCAGGGCCCAAAGTGCATGGTGACCAGTGAACACCCACTGCAGTCACAGGGATCTCACAAGGCCTGGTGCTGGATGGAAGGACCGCTGCACGCCCCTGGCCAGCCTCAGCCGCAGACTGCCCAGGCAATGCCCTTCCTCCTCCAGCCTTGCCAAAGACCCAGGGTCCATAGTTCTCTAAACTGTGCAGCGAAGCCCTTCTCCAGTCACCCTGGAGGCCTCTCCAGAAATGAGCAGCCCCACCAGCCCCCAGCCCCCTTCCTCTTTCCAAAACCAGGCAAACCAACATTCCCCTCCCCCAACGTGGTCACAAAACAAGTTCACAGACACACTTGGATGGGAATACCAAAAGCTGATGGTATGAAGCCGGCCCCCCACATAGGGCATGGCATTCCAGCCCTTTCCTCCACCTCCTGGAACAGGGTTCTGGCCTGTTTTAGTCTCAGGCTGGCTATGGGGACCCAGGACAGGCGCTGGGGTGCCCCACTCTTCCGCTAACAGGCCTGGTGGACGTGGCTTCCCTTCAGCATCTGGGACACCTTGGACACCTTTGTCCTTCCGTGGTGATTCCAAGAGCACACAGAGGGTGGTCTTTGCAGAGGTCTCAGAAGGGTTTTAGTAGCTGAGTCCAACCAAGCCCAAGGACCTGGTGACTGGGGCTCCTCATCGTCCATGGGGGTAGTGCTGGGGGTGGGGAGGGGCCCTGAGCCCTGGACTTGGGACCATGGAGGTGTAAGGATTCACTGACATCACTGGAAGGTGTCTGGTTTGTCCCAGTCATGGCTTTGACTTATGGGAAAGTGGGGTTGGGAGGGCTTAGGGATTCTATGGAGTGGCTGGGGGGCAGTTTCTCTGAGGCACCCACCTCTCACCTTCTACAACTGATGCCTGGGGCAGGAGGGGCAAAAAAGCGGCTACCAGATGACCCCTGGCCCCTGTGAGCTAGAGGGACAATAATGGAGATGGTGAAGGTCTTCTTCCACAGGTCCCTCTATGTCCTTCCGGATCATATCCGCATTTCCGGCTCACAGCAATTTCCCGTGGGCCAAATGAAAAGCACCAGAACTTTCCCTGACCTTCAGCCCCCACTCAAACTGCAGCCTCAGAGGGGAAGAGGCCTGAAGCTGCCCCACGAGCCTGACACCAAGGAGCTAGGCACTCGGACACCACAAATGGGAGACCTTCATGGCTGGTTTGCACTGAAGGATGCTCTGGCCACCCACGTGGCACCTCTGGCTGGCCCCCGACACTGGCCCAGGCCTGGGAAGGACCCCAGGGGGGATGAGCTGACTGGAGGAGGCCACACGGAGAGTCACAGTCCAGAGGCTGTCAGGCAGGCCCCACCTGAATCCCCAGAGCAAGGTCTTCAGCCTCACCACAGGCCAGATGGCAACGGAGTAGGGGGAGCTGGGACCAGATTGAAGTGAAAGGGACACTGGACAAAAGGATCAGGAAGGGACGACTGTTCCAAATTTGAGTATTTACATGTCTGGGCTCAGGGCCCAGAGGCCCATGGTGGGTGGGGCCAGCGACCAAACAGGAAGAGGGGGGACATACCCATCTTCTCCTGCATCCTTCTCCCCCCTCGGGGAGCCCAGCTTGCAGCCCAGGGCCTGCCCGAAGGGAGAAAAGAGGCACAACATGCGTGGCTGGCGCCCACCTGCAGCCCTAGCCTGTGAGTGGAGGTGAGGAGGGTGGAGGGGGGCTCAGGTGGCCAGGTTGTCGGCCGGGAGGCCGGACATGCGGATCTGGGAGCTGCTCTTGCTCAGGATGGAGAGCTGGGTGCCCCCGTTCACCCCGCTGCTGGCCAGGGATGGATGCCGGTGCTTGAAGTCCACGGCGAAGTAGCGATTCACCTTCCAGCTCCGCCACTTACGTTTGATCTCCGCCTGCACCTGCAGGGAGCAACACCGGCAGTCACCTCCAGGGGTGAGGACATCCTGTCTGACCTCACCCACCTGTCTCCCTGCCACCTCCAGCAGCACCCCAGGCCCTCAGTGGGAAAGGAACACCTCTGAGGACCTGACCACATGTCAGCTGTCTTGCCCACATCACTGTCTGAGCCAGGCCTGCTGATGGCTTCCTGGGGCCCTGAACTCTTGTGTCCACAGTCAGAGACTAGCCCATAGGGCCTTCAGGGAAGGTCTTAGGAGCTGGCTCCAGGGGCAGACAGATCGGGGCAAGCAGCGCTCTCGCTGGTCCTCAGAGGCGGGCTGCCCACGAGGCTCACCTGGAGAGCTTTGAAAAGGCGGATGCTGAGACCAGCCCCGCCACACGCACATCAGGATCTCGGGGGCAGGCCTGCACGTGTTTCAAGGCTTCCCAGGGTTGCCAGGATGCAGTCAGGGTTGAGAACCACTATACAGCACACCCCTCTAGTGAACACACCCCCACTTGCTCTTAGCACGGTGTGCAGAGGGCAGACCCTGTTCAAGCTTCGGTGTGCCCCTCAGTCCAGCACCTGCGTGCGGTGCATGGCCTGGACAACTGGCCGTGGTCCTGGCACTCACCACCTGGTTCCAGCTCCCCATGCAGAGCATGCCCTAGACAAGCCCCCGTACTCCCACTGCTTGCTCCCCCCTGCCTCTGCTTGTCTATCCTGGTCTAACCTTTCTGCAGGGTGTCTTAGCAATTCCGGGGCCCAATCCTCTCATTTCTTGTATGCAATAGTGGAGAAGCCTGCTGAGGTCCAGCACAAATTCTGTCCACGGCCCAAAGCCATCCCACCAGCACGGCCCCATCTCAGCACCTCAGTGCTGGGCTCTACTCAAAGTGGCACCTGAGCAGGTAAGATCTGAGACCTCAAGAGCATAGCACTGGAAATGGAGCATTACTAGGAGGCTCCAGGCCTCTCCCATGGTCCCTGCTGAGTCCCCACAGTCCCCTCTCTATAATAGGGGATGGGTTTGCAGGCAAGCTGCCTGCTAGGAGCAGCGCTAAACTTTGGGCAGCTCTGCCCACCGCAGCCTGCTGAGCCATGGACCCTGTTTCCCATGCCCCATTCTTCCTCACTTTCACTTCTTTGTTACTGGGGTACGTCTTATGGCGAGAGCCCTCCCAGGTGGGTCTGCTCTCCACAGCAGATGTGTCTGGGGGGCAGGGTGAGGGAGGGCTCTGCTGCAGAGGCTGGGCCTCGGCTGTACCGCAGACAAAGTGGGAGAGGTTCTGGCACAGGGTGGAGGCTGTCAGGAGACCCTGGCACCATGCCAGCCCCTTCCTGCAGGGCCTGGGAGTGTGGCAGAGCCCTGGTCTGGATTATAAGCCCTGTGTGGCCAGTAAGCTGCACCCCCAAGTGCTCCCCAGGAGTCCCACCTCCATTGCGTAGAAGCCAGAGAGCCAGGGTCTTACCTCCCCATTCAGAAAGCAGTAGAGAACGGCCACCACAAAGCCCTGGGGAGAGAGAGCAATAACACCTGAGCATGTGAGCAAGGGACCTTCCGCACCAGGTGTGGGGGAGGTGGCGGGGGTGAAGAGTGACACCGCAAAGCAGAAAAATACAATCACTTGGATCAGGAGGGCACCTGCTGCCCAGGAATCTGGGGCAAAATGGGACAAGTGCTGCTCCGCAGCCACGGAGCCGGTGGCTGACGAGGGTCCCCTCCTGACATACCTGGCTTCAGAGCTCGCTTTTCCTGGGTCCAATCCTCCCAGTTCCCAAAGGCCAGCTCCATCTGTCTTCCTACAAGAGGCCTCCCCTGAACGCCCCAGCACGTTCTCTGGGCTCCCGCCTGCCTGCAGGCCTCCTGGAGGCGCACCCCCCCAGGATGACACAGACCTAAGTTGTCCCCACTCTCACCCTGGGCCAGGCACACAGCACACCCCACGCCTTGGGAGTATGTGCTCAACACAGAGTAGGTGTTCCACTACCCTACTACGTTCTTCACCCATGCTCTTCGTGTTCAGATTCATAGTGCTGAGACGGAAACCCGGGCTCTGATTCCCAGGCTGGGGCTTTGTCTTTATAACTTGCAGCCTTGCCAAATTAAGAATTAAAATTGGGGGAGAGAAGAGACTCAAGTCAGATACAGAGAAGAACTTCCTGTCTGTCAGGTCAAATACATGTTGGGACAGTTGGGTGGGGGACAGCTGCTGTCTCCTGGGGGCACTCAAGGGAGCCAGCCCTGCGTGCACAGCCCCTCATGCTCCCAAACGGTCATTTTCTCAGTATGGACCATCTCACCAACTCCCCTTCGCTCACTTGTTTACAGCCTGCCTACATGCACTCATGGGGCCCCTAATTCTCCACTCTCTCCCTCCAAGGGTCATTTATGTACATGCCCGCATGCTCGTCCACCAGTTGAGACCACTCAGCACTCTGTGGCCAGGTCCTGGACTGGGGGGCCCTGGCTTGGGCGAGACAGACGCCCAGCACTCATGGGGTGCACAAGTTAGACACAGGAGTCGGGACATGGACACAGAGGTCTCTGGAGCGCACTCCACTCACACCCGGAGCTGCTGCTGAGGGATGGGACGACCGTCCCAATCACCAATAGAGGCCGGGCTCAGGACGCCCCGGCACAGTGCCTGGAAGACAGCAGCGTGTCTGCTCACAGCAGCTCAGCAGAGTGTGGGCAGCAAAAGGCGCTCTCCCAGCTCCTTTCTAGTCGAGAACTCTCATTTCAGAGATGGAAACACGGAGGTCCAGTTCAAGTTAAGGAAGTTTCTAGAACCACCAGCAGGTTAGGACCGGGGCCGTGGACCCCTGTGAGTCCTGCCCCCACCACGTACCTGGAAGGAGCCCAGCCCCAGCTCAAACACCAGCCTCTCCCTCTTGCTGACGTTCTCCGGGGAGAAGGCGAATACCGTGTAGTGGATCCCAAACAGAGGGATGAGCAGCAGCGTGGACCGGGCCAGCCGTCTGTCGGGAGAGAGCAAGACATCTGCTCCGGGCGCTGCCTGTGCTTGGGCCGGAGCCCTGGAGGGCAGAGAACCCCAGTCCCTGCCCTCTCCTCTCCCTCAGAGGTGGAGTCCTGTCCACAGATCCCCTCAAGGCTCTCCCCAAATTCAAGGGGCCCAGGAGGGATGGTGGCTGACACAGCTGGGCTCCTGAGCTCTGTGGGAGGTTCTGGAGGGACATCCCCCAGTCTACAGGGCCCCTGTCCCTCTAGACCACATCGGTGTCTTGTAGACCCACTAAGTGTGCACATGTAAGTATGCGATTGATGGAGACACCCCAGTGAAAAAGTGAAGTCATGGCAAAACAGGGAGGGGATTTGGACAGCTCGAGTGATGACGTGATGGGTGCTGGGCAAAGCCGGCACTGTCTTGCTCCCCGAGGAAGCTCCGTGCACCTGAACAGGCAGCCCCAAGAGGCCACAGAGATGGTCGTGTTTCTGAGTCTGGGGCTAGGCAGGGACACTCCTGGAGAGTGACAGGGCAATGCTGACAACAGGGAGGTGGGGTCAGGGCACAGTGAGTGGACCACAGGAGAGACTCGGGCGGGCTTTTAGAAAGGACTTAGTGACTGTGAGAATGGATGAGTCCCGTCCACGCAGGAGCCTAAGGCCAAGGGAAAGAAAGCGGTCTGCGTGGGGGTGGGGTGGGTAGGAAATAAAGGGCCCAAAGAACCTCTTGTCCTCCAAGCCAGCTCTTCTGCTGGTCCTTTGCCTGCAGCTGGCTCCTTGACCCAGTGGGAGGGGCTCTGCTCTGAGGGGTGGGGCCAAGGAGTCACATAAGACATCAAGAGTATGCAGTACATACCCTTATGGGTCCTGCTCTGTGAAGGGGGGCTTCCAGGGGGCCGCCAAGCACGAGACCCCATCTTTCCCCACACCAGCATATTGGCTCCCCCTGAATCTTTTCAAAGAGGAGGCCTGCCTGGGAGGTGCTGTCCTCCCCCCTCGCCCTCTGAGTTGGAGGTGGGTGGGAGGTTCAGCCTCCCTGTCTCCTGCATGCTTGGCCCACAGGGTAGACAGCTGGGCATGGGAGCTGCCGTTTGATTTGGGGTCATTACACCATGTGCTGCTCCCTCTTCCCCATCTCAGCTTTTCTAGGGGAGAATGTTCCGTTGGATCCAGATCTCAGGAGCAAATCCGTGTAGTTGGAGTGAGGCCCTTGGCTTCTCAGAAGGAAGGAAGAAGGGAAGGGGAAGGAAAAGAAAGAAGGAAGGTAGGAGACGCAAAGAAAAGGGAGGAGTCACCTGGGAAGACCTTCGTGTGGACCAGGACTCACGCCTGGAAGGAGGAAGCCCGCCCACTCCCCCCGGCGTGTGGCCAACCTGTGCTGCAAGACGTGGCTGGGACAGCACCTGCCTTCCCGGCAGCCTTGAGGCCGCCCGGAGCAGTCAGGGATTTCCGCTAGGGATCCAGGGCAGCCCAGTGACCACCTTGGCAAATGGGGAAGTGGAGGTAGCTGAGGAGGTGACCAGGGCCCACAGTCCTGGGACCTCCACATTTCAGAGCTGACCAGAGGCCCAGAAAGGGAGACATGTGGTGTGAGCCTCAGGAAGCCTGTTCGAGGACAGTCACGGAATCTGTCTGATCTGACAGGGACGTGGTGCCTTGGCATCTGTAGCCCGTGCCCTGGGGAAGCATGCATGGCAGAGAAGTCCTAGAAAATACTGAGGAAAGCTCCCAACAGTCAGACCCGTCCAGTGAGAGCAGGCTCCTCTCAAAGCCAGCCTGGTGCCAGGTGATGGGCACCCTGGGTTCAAGCCTCACCCTGCCAGTTATGTGACCCGGAGTGAGCTACTTCACCTCTCTATGCTTCAGTTTTCACATCTGTAAAATGGGGGCAATACATGTACCCACCTCTTAAGGCCATCGAGGGGGCTCAGAGAGGGAACAGTGACTGTACACATGAAGTGTGAGTGAGGCGCGCTGCAATGGAGGTCCCTGTAATGTGCAGAGGCTGGGCCATATGAACTCAAGCGCTAAGACTAGCAAAAAGAATCTGGCAGTTCCAAAGACCGGAGCCCAGAGAAGCAGGACACCAGGGAAAGGCCACACATCCAGGTAGCAGTGGCCGAGGCCTCTGGGCCCTTCCTTGGTGCCTGCCAGCCCCTCAGTGGCTGCAGCTCTGTCCCCACAACCTCCTTCCCGCCCCCACCATGAGATTGCAGAAAACTCGCAAGACACACACGTCAACATGCAACAGCCAAAATGGGGCTCGGGGCTGGAGGCACAGGCTGCCCTCTGCCCTCCTCCAGCCCAGCGGTGGGCAGGCGGGCTCCAGGAGGCAGCAGCAGCATGCGTCCCCTCCCCCCGCACCAAGACATGGGCCACAGCCACGCACACTTACAGAGTAATGGTGGACAGTTCTGACATCTTGCAAGAGTGCTGCTGAGCCCGCTCTGGCTTGCAGTAGCATTTCTGCACGCAGCTGCTGGGTGTGACAAGATCAGCACTTCTGTCAGCGGGGGTGTCGGGCAGTGAGGAAACTGAGGTGGGACTTGAAGCCACACAGTTCATGGGGTGGGCAGAGAAGCCAAGGGTGTGGAGAGAGGACCGGGTGGTGACATGGAACATGAGCAAGCCGAGGGCCAAGACAGGGTCAGCTCTGGACACAGAAATGCACGCCCACATGTGTACACATCTGTGCACAGACATGCACGCACACACACACGAGCACTCACCCTGGGATCACGGAGGGGGGCTGGGGGGTGTCAGAAGGAACACGTGCATTCAGAAGGTAGAGCTGGGGCTGGGGCTCAGAGCCAAAAGCTCTCTCCAGAGTCAGCTCTAGGCTTGGAGCGTGGCCTTGCTGCACATCACCCACAGACCCGGGCAACTGGAATCGCACACCACCACGGACCTCACGGTGCCCGGAGTCAGAGTACACGGCTACTTGTGGACTTGATTGTGAAGGCTGACTCCACAGGCCCTGGTCCCCGGCACTACACCTCTCTTCTTCCGCCCCAGCCTTTCTCTGTCTGAGCCCCCAGGCACCTTGATGCGGACACACGGGGGGCACAGAGGCTGTCTGGACAGAACCAACTTTAGACTAGACCTGAACGATCCAGTATGACAGCCACTGTCCATCTGCGGCTATTTGAGTTAAAATAAATCAAGTTAAAAAGTACTTCCTCACTGGCCCTGGCCACACTGCAAAGACTCAACAGCTACAAGTGGCTAGTGGGTCCCAGGTGGGACAGCAGGCATCGGGGGCATTTCCATCAATGCTGAGAGTTCCAGCACACAGCCCAGGTAGGCCAGACTTCCTGAGAGGAGCCAGTGGGCAGGGGCTGAAGGCTGAGGAGCATCTTTTGGGCACTGTCCCACTACCTGCAAAAACAAGCGGCCCAGGGTGCTGGTCCAGCTGGACTTTCTACTGGGGGAGGCACAGACTGATGGAAATGCCCTTGCCTCACTTTCATCACTTCTAGCTCTTCTCTGCCTGCCTAAGCCTGGGATGGCAGAAAGCACGGGCACTTCTTGTCCTTGTCCAGCATGGCAGTGTCACCTCCTCAGACTGCAATGGACCTGCCGGCCTCACAAACCCTCCTCAGGCCCCACATGGCCCTGTGGTCCTGGGACCTGCCCGTGACCGGGCAGTCCTAGGGGGATCCAATACAGAGGAGCACAGAAGCACATGAAAGCCTTACGGATTTGGTATTTGTGACTCCAGCTCTTTGAGAGCAAGTCTGAAGGTCCTTGGCACCAGGGGACATGTACCTTTTTGCCAGGGCAAACATGTGAATCATATGTTTCAAAGATGGAGTCAGCTGAGGTCTTCCCAGCCTCTGGACCTCAGTGAGGTCTATGGTGCTCATTTAAGAAACAGCATCTTTCAGCCCTGGCTGGTGTGGCTCAGTGGATTGAGCTCCAGCCTGCTTGAACCAAAGGGTTGCCAGTTCGATTCCCAGTCAGGGAGGGCACATGCCTGGGGTGTGGGCCAGGTCCCCAGTAGGGGGCGCACGAGAGGCAATCACACATTGACATTTCTCTCCTCTTTCTCCTTCCCCTCCCCTCTCTAAAATTAAATAGAATCTTTAGTATATGTGCTGCTAAAACAAACACTAAAGATAAATAAAATCTTTCAAAAATAAAAATTAAAGAATAGTTCTTTAAAAAAAAACCCTGCATGTTTCAAATCCCACAGCACTGAGGTGCACAATACTGGCCCATTTTGTAGGTGAGGGGTGTGGAACACAATACTTTGCTAACCACAGTGGGGCCCCCAAACCGGCAGCAGCAGGACCACCTGAGAGTTTCTCAGACACGCAGACTCTCGGGGCCGCCTCGGACCTGCGGGCTCAGAACCTGCACCCTAACAAGACCCTCCTGGGGATCCACTTGAGTCGAATCTCGAGAAGCACCGCTGGGAAAACGCCATTTGTTTGAAAAGTCTCCTCTGTCCTCGGTGAATACCAAAGGTCTGTTCCATGTGCACACACAGACAGGCGGCCACATAGAAGTATGTTTTCTTTTAATCACATACACACGTACGTGTGCAACTGGAAAAGCTTGACCGGGTATTCAAGAATGGACGCTCCTAGTCTTCACATTCATTCTCAGCCTTGCCCAGATTGGAGGGTTGGCTATTCTCTCCTACAGTCAGTGGCCAGATCCCTCAACCTTGGCCTACGTGAAACCCAGAAAGCCGTGTCTGGGAGCCCGAGCACTTGAACCTCGGACGTTGCCTCTTCCACACTAGGCGTGAACCCTCACCCAGAATTCTAAAGCCTCGGCTGATCCCCTTTAAGATCGCTCCACCTGGAGCTCCCAAATTGTCCCTGCTCTCCCTGGTCCCCGGATGCAGTAAAAATAGACTCCTCTGGTTTCTTTGAAGTGCGCTCAAGGCCATTTAGTGGCAACTTAGCTGGGACACCAGCCTCTGGTAAAGATGTGTGCTTCTGGTGAAGACTGAGGTTGGGAGAGAGAAATGGGTGGGAGGGTGCCTAGTGCCTGGGGGGGTGCCTAGCGCCTTGAGGTGGGGGCTCTCAGGAGAAGGTAGCGGGGACCTAGGGACAAAGGTAAGGGCTCTTCTTCCCAAATACTGCCCTTCCCCCAGATCTTCCGTGACTCTGTACAAAACAAAACCCACTGAAAAGAAATGCCAGGGAGGAGCGGCAAAGCCAGAGACAGGCGCGAGAAAGAAAGAGAAGTCAGCTTCTCTGGAGAGTCGCCACAACCAGTGAAAGGGGGGAAAGCAATTTAATCAAGAGGAAGAGATAAACCCAGGCTGGCTAATGAGCTCAGTTCTGATTTGGGTCCAAGGGAGGACAAGAAACTTAGACAAGGGTGCTGGGTGGGGGCTGCTTGGTCAGCAGCGTCAGCCAGAATCAGAGGGGAGACCTGTAGCAGGAAGTCAGAGAGCCCTGGCTCCCAGTCCTGGTCTTGACAAGGCTTTCCTGTTTGTCTGCAGAAAGGTCAAAGCCATTTCCAGGTCTCCTACCTATAATCCGGTTTCTTGGGCGCCTGCTATGGTCTCAGGCCAAACTCCACAAAGGCTTTGGTGTGTCCAGTGAGCCAGGCTGCCTGGCCAGGGCCCTAGGAAACCCCTGGCAGGGTGCTGGACAGAGGCCCCTGCAGGGAAACCTCCGTGGGCAGCACCACTGTCTGTTCGCCCTGATCCCGGTGATCAGTCTAGCACTGGACGTGACAGACCCACAGAATGCTGTGGTCCAAGCTGAATATTCCCTAGAGGGTCCCTCCTGACACTAAGATGCTATGAGCCCCCAGCCCCCAGCCCAGTCCCCAGGGAGGCACTCCACACCACACTGGTACTCCAGGAAGAAACCCGGAGCAGCAGATCCAGGAGCCCCCCGACCCCGCACCTGCTCCCCAACCCCTGAGAAGGAACCAGCTGTGTGAGGCTGTATGTCTGCCTAGCCAGGGAAAAGCCTGTCTTCAGAGGTGAATGTTGTCTTTCTGACAGCGGGCACCTTACAGCCCCACTGAGCCAGCAACGGCACCACAGTGTCTGTCCTCTTCTTCCTCCTTCGCCCTGGGGCTGTGGAGACCCCCTCTATGGGGCCCCTGAGGGGGTTACGGATGGGGTTTCCCCACACACACACCAGCTTCCAATGCCCACCATGCAGTGGGAAGCGGGCTACACAGGGCCAGGCCCTGGAGCCTCCCCTCCCCGTTCTGAGCCAGTTGGCTTCTAGCAGAGGTGAACTTTGGTCCCCAGGAAAAGGCAGGCTAACCCTGCCCCCAGTCCTGGTTTGAGCCCTAACCTCTGCCCAGGACCAAGTCGAGTCTGAGCACACGCCCACACTCCCTGCCCAAGTCCTGACCCCAGGTACTCTTTCTACCTCGAGTATCAGGTGAGAGAGTGTGGGGACTCAGTGCCACCGCCCAGCCCCCGACAGGTCCTTCTGCCACCTGGCCTCCATCTGTGGAGGACAAACCCTTATCACCTGAGCAGCTGGAACCAACCTACAGGAAAGGGAGTGAATGCTGGTCTGAGGGCACAGGCAGGGGGTCCTCTCGGGCTTTCTTGGGGACTCCCAGGCTTAAATTTGTTCTGGAAACAGAGGAAAAAACCAAAAAACTGTTGGTAGCTCTGAAGGGCTTCTCAGCCCAACACATAACTCTGGTGACCCAAGGGGACTGGGGCACAGCCCTAAAACCCTCTCCCACCTGGGCTGCCCTTCCAGCCCGCCACAACCTCCCTTCTCCCACGGCAGACACTTCTCAGCTCAACGCCCTCCAGGCGGGCAGCTTCATACACAGCTGGAACCACTGGGGCCTCTTCTTTTAGGAAACTATTTATATACTTGCTTAACACCATCTTCTCTCCCTGAGGACAAGAATGCCGGTGTGGCCAAGCTTGAAGCCAAGAGCCTGCCTGCTGGATACTCGTGCCTGCATTCCTTCCTACTGGATTCACTGCACTTCGATACCAATACCGAGTTCCCTCAGCTGTGGAGCAGGGAGTGTATTGGAGGTACATACATCTCACACACCTATCTCGCCAGGTTCTCTGGATGCTTGTGAGCATTGAGTGGGCACAGCCTGAGATGCAGGGGTGTTTCAACGCTCAGTTCTTAGCATCCCTGTCCCTTTGATTGCCCCTCACTGTCCTTTGATGGCCCCTCACTTTCCCGACAGGATTTCCTTGACCCTGGAAACATGCAAACATGTTGCTGAATTGAATCGGATCAAGCTAACCCATGGTACTCCGTCCCTCACCCCTGGTTTGCAGAACACATCCACTGAGTGTTTAATCTTTGGGACTTGGGATGAGTGCATGTTTCCCTTTTTCTATAAAAAGGATTTGCTGAGATTACAAGATATTTTTACACGACAGAAGCAAACCAACTAGCTGGTTCTTTGAACGTCAGTGCTTAAATGAACAGGCATACATCATTTCATTGCGCTTTGCTGATTGAGTATTTTTCTTTTACAAATTGAAAATTCATAGCAACCCTGTGTTGAGCAAGTCTATTAGTACCATTTTTCCAGCAGCATTTGCTCACTTCGTGTCTCTGTCACATTTTGGTAATTCTTGCAATTACTTCACACTTGTCATTATTATCACATTTGTTATGGTGACCTGTGATCGGCGACCTTTGCTGTGGCAGTTGTTTTGGGGCACCACGCACCACACCCACGTAGGACAGCGACCCTGACAGATGCCATGTGTGTTCTGATTGCTCCAGCAGCTGCCCTCCCTCTCCTTTGGGCCTCCCTACTCCCCAAGACACAACAATGTCAGAATCTGGCCAATTAATAACCCTCCAGTGGCCTCTAAGTGTTCAAGCAGAAGGAAGAGTCACACATCTCTCACTGTAAATCAAAAGCTAGACATGAGTAAGCCTAGTGAGGAAGACATGTTGAGAGCTGAGACAGGCTGAAAGCTAGCAAAGCTGTGAATGCGACGGAAAAGTTCTTGAAGGAATTAAAAGAGGAATGAAGGAAAAGTTCTTGAGGGAATTAAAAGTGCTACTCCAGTGAATGCATGAATGATAAGAAAGTGAAACAGCCTTATTGCTGACATGGGCAAAGTTCTACTGGTCTGGGGAGAAGATCAAACCGGCCACATTCTCCTAAGCAAAAACCTAACACACAGCAAGGCCTCCCCTCTCTTCAATTCTTAAAGGCTTAGAGAGTTGAGAGAGCTGCAGAAAAAAAGTGTGAAGCCATCAGAGGTTGGTTCATGGGGTTTAAGGAGAGAAGCCGCCTCTATAACATCAAAGTGCCAAGTGAAGCAGCAAGTGCTGACGGAGAAGCTGCAGCAAGAGTCCCAGAAGGTCCAGCTGAGAGGATTCATGAAGACAGATACACTTGACCACAGAGTTTCTCTGTGGAAGGAACAGCCTTATGTTGTAGACGCCATCCAGGATTCTCATAGCTAGAGAGGGGAAGTCAGTGCCTGGCTTCAAAGCCTCAAAGGACAGGCTGACTCTCCTGTGAGGGGCTAATGCAGCTGGTCGCTTTCGGTTGGAGCCATGCTCACGTACCATCCTGAAAATTCTACAGATTTCAGAATTACTCTCTAATTCTGCTAAGAATTCTTCTCAGAATTCTGCTAAGTCTACTCTGCCTGTGTTCTGTAAAGAGAGAAATGAAGCCTGGACGACAGCACATCTGTCTGCAACACGGTTTACTGAGCAGTTTAAGGCCACTGTTGAGCCCAACTGCTGAAAAAAGATTCCTTTCAAAATATCACAGCTCACTGACAATGGACCTGGCCCCTATGAGCTCTGATGGAGATGTGCAATGAGATGAATGTTGCTTTCATGCCTGTTAATGCAGCATCCGTTCTGCAGCCCAGGGACCAAGGAGTGATTTTGGCTTTCAAGTCTTATTATTTAAGAAATCAATTTCATAAAGCTGTAGCTGTCACACACAATGAGTCCTTGATGGATCTGGGCAAAATGAATAGAAAACTTTCTGGAAAAGATTCACCATTCTAGATGACATTAAGAACATTGAGATTTCATGGAAAGAGGTCAAAATGTTAACATCAACAGAAGTTTGGAAGAAGTTGATTCCAACCCTCCTGGATGACTCTGAGGAGTTAAGACTTCAGTAGAAGAAGTAACTGCAGTAACTACAGGTGTGGTGGAAATATCAGGAGAACTAGAATTAGAAGTAGAGCCTGAAAATAGGACTGAATTTCTATAATCTCATGATGACACTTGAACGAATGAGGAGCTGCTTCTCATGATTATCAAAGAAAGTGGTTTCTTGAGGTGACTCTGTTTCTGGTGAAGAACCCACGAAGATTGTTGAAATGACAACAAAGAACTTAGAATATTAAATAAACTTAGTAGATAATGCTGCAGCAAGGTTCAAAAAGATCACCTCCAATTTTGAAAGAAGTTCTGTTGTATGTAAAATGCTATCCAATAGTATCATGCTACAGAGAAATCACTCATAAAGAAAATTTGTCCTACTTTGAGAAACTGCCACAGCCACCCTAACCTTCAGCAGCCACCGCCCTAATCAGTCAGCCATCATCAGTGTGGGGGCAAGACTCCCACCAGCAAAATGATTAGGACTTGCTGATGGTTCAGGTGATAGTTAGCATTTTTTAGCAATAAAGCATTTTTTAATTAGGGTATCTACATTGGTTTTTTAGATATAATGCTATTGCACATTTGATAGGCTACAACAGAGTATAAACATAACTTCTGTATGCACTGGGAAACCAGAAAGGTAGCGTGACTCACTGTGCTGCACTCTTCATTCCACTGCGGTGGTCTGGACCCACCCTGCGGTGTCTCACGAGTAGGCCTGTGCAGACCATGTGCAAGTCACAGTGGTTCTTATCTACAAATTAGGAAGGCCCCATAGGACTCTACAGCTCCAAGTCAGTGATAACTTTGAAACCCTGGCCCCAGACTTCTCTCCCATCAACCCTGGTGGTTCTCACTGCCTGGGGCAGGCTGTCTGGGCTGGTGAAGTATGTTCTGGCTGCACCAAGCAGCGTGTCCCTGTTTAGGTTGTGGCTAAGTGTGAGCAAGCTGGGAGAAACCCCAGAGAAGAGGTCCCAGGACCCCAGAAGGAGAAACAGACCCTACCACCAAACAGAGGAGTGACTGAGGCGGTTGAGCTCAAAGGGGAGATGAGGCCAACTTAGCCACATGCTGGCTCATACATCCAAGGTAACTGCTCAGGAGGGGATGATGCACCCTGGAGAGGAGGACCTGGGGCCAGACACAGGACATATTCCTGATGCTGGACTGGGTGGTGAGGAGAGCAGTGGGGCCCTGTGTTGCAGGTCCCTGAGATGAAGGCAGGAATCACCTCTCTAAGGCAGTTAGTTAGTGGCAGAGAACAGGCCCGACTGGTCCCCCAAGGGTGAGCCTCGGAGACTTCATGACTTAGTATCGATGAATACTTTTTACTACATAACATACACATATAAGCAGGGGTTGGTAGACACTTGCAAAAAATGAAAAAAAAACAGCAAATGGATAACAAAAGAAAGTGTGTGGGTGGGTGACTCTTTCCCAATGCAATGGAATCATCCTCCATGCAGAACAAACAAAGCTTACCAAACCAGGCCTTGGGTTTACCCCCACCCCGGGGGAAGAGCTTCCACAAGGAGCATGCCTGGGCTGAACACACAGACCACGGGAAGCCCCGAGGAGTCAGAGTCACAGAGAAGGATCTAGCGTGGGTCTCTGAGCCATTTCTCTCTCTCTCTCTCTCTCTCTCTCTCTCTCTCTCTCTCTCTCTCCAGGAGAACCTTCTGATGCCCTACTTATCCACTCAGCAGCCATCAGAGTTCTGAGCCCCAACTTGGGGTCTCTGATGAAGGCAGGACAAAGCCCCCTGCCAATGCAATGGGAATACTTCAGCTCCTTCTAGTTTGTTCTCTTCTTTAAAAACCAAGGAAGCAACACATGTGGCTTATATCCTGGCCACAAACAGACCCCAGAGACTGCCCCCAGATTTTCTGTGCCCATCTGGCCCCTCCAGCCAACCACAGGGGACTGACCTTCCACCCCAGCATCAGCAGTGTCCCTGCAGCACCCCTTCTCCCCCCCACTCGCCCTGCCACACACACCTAGGTTGGCCATGCTTCTGACCATGAAGCAAAAAGGGTCAGATGAAACACACTCAGGCTGACTCAGAATGAGTCAGGGGCTGGAAGGGGGGTGGGGCAGAGAAAGCAGTGATAAGCCTTTGGGGACATGATGGCAGAAACACTTGTAGGAAACAAATCAAATGGCAGCAGAAGTGAAGAACACCCTACTCTCAATGGTAAGAGGTTGCTTGCGAACCTCATCAATCCAAACAATTCAGATGTTCCTTTGCTCAGGGAAGAGGGAATTACAGGAAGAGGACCAGACCCAGAAGTAAACTGCCCCAAAGGGAGGAGAAAAAAAATGGCCCCCTTCCAACACCGAGACCAGTGAGAAAGCCCACGTGACTCGCTGGTGACAGCTGCAGCAACATGCACAGGTGGGACTGGGACAGGAGCTTCAGGCAATCAGGGGCGTTCATGACCCTCCCAAAGCACCAAGATCCCCGGAGGAAACCCGACTTCTAAACAACCAGACCCTACCTACCCTAGGGAATCTGGCAATTTCCATCTTGAGTTTGCTACGGTGACATGACATCTGTCAGTCTCCCTCCCTCTCTCTCTGTTCCCTTCCATGCAGTCACCGTGTGGGTTAGGAGCTCCTGGGCTGGCTGAGGATAGGTGGGTGACTAGATCTTAAGGGCACTTTCATCAGAAAGAAGTCCTGCAAATGCCCGTGCTAGGTTACCCTGTCAGCACAGCCCAGGCCTCTGCGCCCGTGGCCTGAGAGCAGGGCTCTCACAGCTGTTGGAAGTGACTATGGTATTCACACAATGGTACTTACAAGTAGATGCTGGACTCATTGCCTCCCATGTCTGGAGATTGAAGTTTCTGCACAAGGATGAAGATGATGCCAACAAAGAGCCCAAAGTTCACCTGAGGAGCCAAGAAATAGTAGATGGAAACGATTCTGGGCAGAGGCTATCCACTCTGCTGCCCCTGCATTGGCCGTTAATCCCTCAGCAGGGCCCTCCCCCATCTAGTTGAGAGCCCATCCGGACTCATAATCCAAGATGGCGGCATGAGAACACATGTTCATAGGGTTGCAATGACAGAAGAGACAGAAGGAATTCCACAGGCATACTGAGAAATGGGAAAGATTATCATGAGTGAGCCAGAAAAGTGAGTGATTTCTGGAAAAGAAAGAGCAACTAGGGTCAGGGTGATGAAACAAGTCCAATGCCAAATAGATAGAGAAGAGGCTATTGCAGAGGTGAGAGCTGCCCTCTGGAGGAACTCCAAGTTCAGAGTCATTGAATATGGGGAACTGGAATGGACAACCACACACATTATTAATTAAATGCTTGCCTGGGAGTAGCAACAGTAGCATTTACCTTCAGATAAAGATCAGGGCCCAAGCTCCCTAAACCAAGTGCCAGGCAGTGGGTGCGGAGAGAGAGGAGGAGAGAGGTGGACAAATAAACAGAAACGAGGCACCGTGAGAGGACTGCAGCGCACGGACATCCTCCAGATGCTGCCGCAGCGGCGCCCTGAGAAAGACATGGGGAGCCTCACGCTCGCTTATTAAAAAATAGTAAATGCTGAAGATAAAATAATTAAGCATCCAAAAAAAAAACAAAACCTAGGGTAAGAGTACCACGAATTTAACTTCTATAGAAAGGAAATTAATAAAGATAAAAATTCATTGTAAAAAAAAATTTTTTAAGTACACTCGATCAATAAAAAGGATTTCAATTTCAGGCCTTGTTTTGTTTGTTTGTGCAGGGCTATTAGAATTATAAAGCAAGCTGCTATGTGGAAGCAGGGTTCTGTCAGTCATGTTTTCCCCTACCTGCCCTGTGTCTGATCAGCACCTGGGATTTAGCTCAGTAATTACAGCTCACTGCATATGTAGAACCATTCAAAAGGAAAAAAATGTAATTAAACAGAACAAAAAAAGGAAGCTAAAACAACAGATGCATAGGATATTTTTAATCATAAGAAGAAATCGAACAAAGTGGGGGAAATGTAAGTTAACAAAAGCAAATCTAGGAGAGGTGGAAAATCTGAAGAGAGCAATGACCTCAAAAGAAACTTAACAAGGAATGGACTGTGTGTGCAGGAAGAGGCGCTGGGCCCAGCCCAATGCACGGAGCAGTTCCGGAACACCTCTAAGGAAGATGCGGTTCACGAACTGCTCCCAGGTTTAAGAGCAAATGAGGAGAAAAGGCCCCAAATTACCTATGAGGCTGACAAAACGCTGCTACAAAACACACACCCTCACACACACACAGGTACACACCTAAAACCGGAGAACTTACGAAGAGCAATGCAAAAACTATAAACGAAATATGAACACGGAGAATTTAGCGGTGCACTAAATGAACCAACAGATCGTAACCATAAAGGTTTTGTGCCAGGAATACAAAAAAATGAAATAAAATACTACTAACACTTGCTACTACAGCCAATTAAAGCAATAAGCTACTGTAGTCCCTGAAAAGACTGGCAGATAGTTCGGGAGTCATGACACCAACGAGGACATGAGAAATGAGCACTCTCGTACCTCGCTGGGGGGCAACTTGCTACCCACGAACATGGTAAACGTACACAACCTGTGTCCCAGAAATCCCACTACTGGAGATGAATTCTACAGACACATCCACACATGCCCAAAGATAGGCACAGAGATGTCCACTGTAGCGTTGTTCACGACAAAAAAAACTGAAATACTAGAAATGTCTATCCCTAAAGAAAAATTTACTTCAGTAAACATCTCCAAAACACGTTTGATAAAATTCAACACCTATTCCTGACTTTAAACAAATGCACACGAAACAAGCCAGGAGCAGAAACTTTCCTACTTTACTAAACAGTGACTTCCCAAGAGTGCAGCAAACACCATCTTCAATGAAACTAAGGCACTGATGGTATAAATATTAGAAAGAAAGAGTAAAAACTAGCGTTATTTAAGGATCATGTCATTTTCTACCCAGAAAATCCATGAGAACAGCTGAATAGGGATGAGAATGAAAAATAGTGTTTTAAAAAGTGACAAAGAGAAAACAAATAAAAAACTAAAAGCTTTCCTAAATATCAGCAGTAACCTGCTAAAAAACATAGAGTAAATGTTTATAAAAACATATAATGAATGATTCCCAGACACAGTGAAAGCACAGACTGGCTGGACTTATCCCGGAGGTAAACTGAACAAGACAACTGAACACTGCACAACTGTGAGAAAGACCGAATGAGTGGAGATCTGTGCCATGTTCTCGGAGAGAAAGACTCATCATTTTAAGAAAATCGGTTGCAGTCGTCCCTCCTTCTCCACAAGGGATACTTTTCAAGAGCTCCAGAGGATGCTTGAAATAGCAGGTTGTACCAAGCCCCCAACGTACGATGTTTTTCCCATACATCCATATCTGTGACAAAGTTTAATTTATAAGTCAGGCAAGTTATAGGTTAATAATACCTGGTAATAAATAGAACAGTTGTCACAAAATACTGTAATGAAAGTTCTGTAAGTGTGATCTTTCTCCCTCGAAGTATAATCAATGCGAGATGGCTGTGAAGGGACCTACCCGTGTATCCTGCACAGTGACAGACAGAGGGTCCCTGCCCGGGCGTGGCAGGGGGAGACAGTACGAGATTTCATCACGCTGTCCACAATGGCATCAACATTAAGACTTATGAACTGTGTATTTCTCGAACTTGTCATCTGATTTTTGTTTTCCAGACCATGGTTGACTGCAGGTAACTGGAAACTTAGAAAGCAAAACCGTGGATAGCAGGGTGGTGGGCGGGTGGGGGGACTGTATCCTCCAAGTTAGGTTATAAATTCACTGTAAGTCCTACAAAAATCTCCACCAGACTTTGGATTTGCAACTTGCCAAAGGATTTGAAATCCACATAAAAAAGAAAACGTGCAATGACATTTGGAAGAATAAAAGAATAAAGAAGGGGAAATTAGCGCACCAGATAGGAAAGCACGCTGCAATGCTGAAACATAGAATAGAAAATCTGGGACCCGACAGAACACAGAGAGCATTTATGATACAATGCCATTCCGGCATAATGGGGAAAGGATGATCTACTCCATAAGAAGAATGGAGAGGGTGGAGCATCTGTCTGAGGTCTGGAGAGGCCTCCTGATACAAGAAGCAAGGCTTGGAAGGTGTGCAGAGGAAGCCCGCTGGCTTGACTGTCTGAGGTACAGCACCTTTAAATACACTTACAACCTCTACACCAAATGCAGTGTCACTGTCCTTCAAACAGCGAGAAAGACAACTGGACTAGAAAAGTAAGCAAAAAATCAATCAATAAAAAGGTAATAACAGGATTATAAACAAACTGCTAATAAACATTGGGAAAATGCCCTGCGGCACTGGCAACGTGGAGAAATGCACACCAAAGCCTCAAGCAACCATTATCCCCCGAAAGACTGTGCAAAAATTCAAATGACCGATAACACAAGTGCAGTAGACAACTGACCCAAAAATTCCCCTTCAAAGGATTTGTTCTAAATAAATATTCACACATGCTCAAAATGATACACAGAACTGTCCCGAGTCAGATCTTTCGTGATGAGGAGAATGGGGTAATGTAAAAGGCCAGCATCATCAGGAGAGCTAACTAATATGGACATCCGTGTTGCAGAATATAACGCAACCATGAACAAGGAGGCGGATGGTGCAGGCGGTGACCTCTTTGTTTCCTCTCCCGCCGTGCCTTTTGGCCCAGACCACCACCTCCCCCTGCCCTTGTCCAGAGGACACTCACCATGATGGAGCCAACCACGGGGCCTTTGATCACCCACCACAGAGCTGTGCTGTCATTCATGTCCCAGCAGCTGAAAGACAGGGGGAGGGAAGAGGGACGATGCTCAGGGCACAGGACGCCTGCTGGGCAACACCTCTGGTCCTTGAGGAGGGGGGTGGGAAGGAGAGCTCTCAGGGGCCCCGTTCTTCCCTCTGGTCCCCTGTCAACTCGGGTATGGAAGCCCAATTGTCAGGTCACCAAAGGACTCCTCAACGGCCACATTTCCCCTTCAGATCTAGGACTCTTGGGGGGCAGCACCTTCCCCTGATCCTTTTTCCTCCCCTCCCCAAAAGGACCAGACACTCACAGCTGGGCCAGGGAGTGGAGTGGGACTCTGAAACTGCTTGTTCTCACTGCCTTCCGGCTGAGATGTGGCTGCGTGGCTCCACCCAGGAAGGGGGGCAGTCAGTGCAGTGGACACCCAAGGCTCAGGGTGCAGCCTGGGCCCTGAGTGGGATGGTCTGTCTGGGGCAGTTAACGTGGAGTCGGGGCAGCCGTGGAGAAGCCCGTGTGGAGCCATGTCCCCGGGGCCCTGCCCCAGCCTGGGGTACGCACTCACCCTGTGTCATCAAAGTAGAGCCTCAGCACAGCCCACACTGACACGCACAGGGTTGGGGTCCCTGCAAGAGCAAGACAAGGGGCCCCGTGACAACAGGAACACCCCCAGGGTCCAGTGTTCCCCCCAGACGTGGGGCTCCTGGTGGCCATCGTCCCCACCCAGACATGGGGTTCTGGCCTATGAGCATGCGTCCCTCTCACACCTAGAGTGCGGGGGGCCCGCACTGTCTCTAACCCCCCGCTGCCTCCTACGGATCTGTGTCTCCCCTACACCATGGGCTGTGTTGCCTCCCAGAAGGACTCCTGGGCGTACCCTCTCAGAAGGTGACGGGCTTCCTGGGGGCAGGAAGAGCATGAGAGAGTCCACGCAGCAGGCATGTGCCCTCTGCGGCGGTGGAGCAAGTGCCTCCTTGGCCCTGACACTCTCTGACGGGCCACCAAGGCCCGTGAGACCTTAGCCTGTCCTGGCCACAGCTAGCGACCTACCCCAGCCAATAATGGTGTACCAGCAGAAGTATCTCCTCTCGGGGAAGAAGGTCTCCACCAGCAGAGTGAAGAGGTACAGGCCCTCGATGAACAGCCAGAAGTAGTTAGACACGACGCAGTAGTGAAAGAAAACCATAACAGCTTTGCATTCCACCTGCCCAGGGAACAGGAAGCGGTGGGGGACGTGAGCCACGATCCCCTGCTCCACTGAGCCCTGAAACCCAGCCCAGCAGGACCAGGGAGAATCCCGAGGGCCTTCAGCTCTGGTAGGCTCAGGCTCCCATGTCACGTGGGTCTGAAACACTCGAGATTCCTAGACTCAGAGTTTAAAATGTAGCAGCCTGTTTCCACATTGGAGCTGCCCATGGAGACTCATTCTCCCCCATCTTCCTATCCCTTCCCCACCCTCACAGGCTACATGATAATGAGATCCTTGCAGGAGCCCCCTTGATAAGAAGAAGGCTTTAGACATGACAGAGGTGGGGTTGGGGGATACCCCTGTCCCCCCCAAAATCTCATAGAGACCTCCTCTAAGTGTGCCCTGGGCTGCCTTTTGCATACCACCCCCTCAAAACTGATCTTCTCTGCTTCCTTCCACAAGTTGGAGGTCTGGAAAGAAGGCCAGCCCATCAGTCCCTGGGCTCACAGGCCAGGTAAGTGACCAGGGACCAGGCAAGCCCTCTTTCTGAGACAAGTGGGACTTGGCCTTTCCGCCTTCCACTGCTCTGCCATGTTTACCCACATGCCCAGGGACAGGAAGTGGCATCATACAGGGGACTCACTGGCTACTGATAGCCCCTTGATCACTCCCGGGTTTCTGTGTTTACTGGGGCCCACGTCTTAGCCTGCAGGAAGCACCTGGGTGGTGGGCACGTTCCGGGAGGAGTGTGTCCCACAGGGCACGGCTCACTCACCGAGGAGATGAAGCAGTGGCTGCTGTCGTGCTCCTCATAGAGGACCCAGTCCTTGATGAAGACGGAGATGGCCCGCAGCATGAACGACACAAACAGGTTCATGTGGATGAAGTTGCGGGTACAGTGCAGCTTCCTGCCGCAGCGGAGGGAGAGGCCTTGAGGCGGCAAACCCGCAGCACGGCAGCCCGTGCTCAGGGTCTGCTCAGGGACACCTGTGTGGCTGTGTGCCTGTGCAGGGGGCCCCCGCCCAGGACCGCCCACTCCCTCCTTCCACCTCCCTCAGGTTCAAGCCCCTGTCCCCTAGCCCCGGGATGCCTCGGGGCCAGACGTCCCCCTCCAGTGGCCTCTGTCTGGACCAGGAAGAGACAAGTGACGCCCGGGGGTTTCCTGCCTTGGAAGGGCTGGGTGCCCTCTCTGGGGTCAAGGTTCCCATCTGTTATCCTAGAGTAGGGGGAACACCTCCCAACGTAGCTCCGGGACTGACAGCTGGGGGACTCAGCCAGGGGCGATCTGTGCTCCCTGGAACACTGCTGGAGGTCTCACCGGAAGCGACACAAGATGACCATGGCAGTGGTGAGGGACACGAGGGACGTGCTGTAGCCGGCTGTGTACAGAGCCTTCACCGACAGGTAGTAGGAATCCTGGAGGGGGTACAGGACAGGTAGGGCTCCACGTAGGGCCAATTCCAGCCTTGTACCTGCCCACCTCTGGGTCCACGGCCTCCTCCCCTCTGTACAGAATCTATACTCATCAGAGGGTCTGCAGGTGCTTGCTGAGTGCAGGAGTGCTGACTGACCCCATCACCACCTTAGCCTGGGTCCAGGAGGGACCCTGCTGGGCCCAGCAGTCACCTGCCAGTTGCTGGGCCAGGAAGGCAGTGTATCCTAGAAGAGCAGCCGGTGAGGTGGGGGACACACGGTGGGGGCTGGAGGAGCTCAGGGAGCTACCCAGCTGCTTCTCCGCCCAGAACGAGTGAATGCAAGTCCTGCCCTCCGTGCGATGGGCTTGGGGACACAGGGGGCACTCATAAATGCTGCCTGCAGTGCCACTGAGAGTCAAGGCCTCTGGTGGGAAGACCCTTCCATCTGCCCCCACAGCCCCACCCTCACTGCCTCTGGGTGGGGGGCAGACACTCACCTGGTCCCCGGTCTCATTATATCCCTCGTCAAACCCACAGGCATCGAAATAATGAGGGAAAGTCTCTGACCAGCCATCTTCCGTGCAGTTCCGGCCTATCACCCGCATGCCTGCGGCAGAAGGGGAACCCAGAGGCACAAGAGCGATTTAAGAGGTCCCTGAAATTCTTCTTCAAAAGTTACTTCATAGGTGAGGATGCCTGGAAGCCTGTATGCCCCTCTGGGAAGTGTGGCCACTCAAGGCTCACCAACTCCTCCACTGTGAAGGGAAACCGACCATCGCTGAGGACCTCAGGCTCCGCCTTCATGGAGGATGTGAGGCGGGGGAAGGCGCAAGCTGGTCTCTGAACCGGGGGCGAGGGGCCCAGCGGGGCTGAATCCAGCCTCCCCCTCTGTCTTGGACCTGGCCAAGGCTCACCTGGGAAAGGCCCGAGCCCCTCTCCCGGGCCCTGGGTCAGCACTTAACCAAACTTCAGTGAGCGGAAACTCCAGGCCCACGTTTGCCCACCCCCCTGCCAGGGGTTCTGGTCCAGAAACCACCTCAGGTAACCAAGGAGCAGGAGTTCCCTTCACACACTGGGTGACACTTTTACTGGGAGCTCTGGGCCTACCAGCAGCTGCAAAGTCCCATCCCACACCGAGGGGACACAGGGCTTGTTTAATTAACAAGAACCAGACCTCCATTAGCCTAGCATAAGATCTCATTAGGATATGCATTTAGGTTTGTTTGTTTGTTTGTTTGTTTTAAAGAACTTCTGCCTTCCCAGGTCTGGATGTCTATCTGTTTCCTGACACTTACATACTTCAGTTTTCTTTGATTGACTTTAAAGGCCATGCTGGGGGGCCCTGGAGGAGGCAGGAGTCCCCAGCTGGCAGTACAGTGGTGGCCAGGCTAGCTGATGCCTGGCCCAAGGCTGTTCAGCCTTGAACAACTCTCCTGATGCCTCCAGGGTGACCCACGGACAACCAGGGCTACAGAGAAGGCCAACAGCCCCCTTGGCCTCCAACCCAGCCCTGGAAGGTGCCCCCAGACTGACCTTGCTCCCGGACCAGCTCCCTGGAAGTTCATTTGGTGGACTAGGACATAAGGGAACATAGGGGATGGTTCTTGCTGCCACAGGATTTTGTCACAACAAAGACACCTGCTGGAAAAAGGCTCCTGTGCTCATGCCACTGGAGGAACACCTCCTCTTTGGCCAATATCACCTCTGGGGAGCTCTGGAAGGAGCCAAGGGCAGAGGCCAGGACAGGAGAGCCCCCACCCCAAATTCGCCAACCTCATGTCCTTGCCAGCCACGTTGGAAGTTCTACAGCCGGTTTTTTTAGCCAACAGAGTCAGAAATGCACATCCTGGGCTCCAGGCAGCAGCAGAGGGGTGGTGGCCCTGCCATAAAGACAGTTCTGCCCAGAGTGTAGTGGCTTCTGGGACTCTGAGCCCTGGGACAAGGGGGACATCTGGCAGGCCCAGGGAGAGAGGGCCCACTCCTGCCTCACAGTTCCATGCCAACTGGTCCCGCTTCCAGCAGGTCTGTTGCAGGCTGTGACTGGCAAGCTCCTTCCATGTCCCTGTGAGCCCTTCTTTCAGAGAGTCCACACAACCCATGGGACCATGGCCTTGACCCTTCCCTCCCTGGGCTTCATCTCCTCTCGGCTTTATCCACATCAGGGTGGTAGGAAGAGGCAAGGGAAGCTGCTTCAAAGACCAGTTTTATAAAGTGTCCTAGAGGTAGGCATCACTTCCTTCCTCCTATTCTCCTCTCTTTTTCTTTCTATAATACAGTGTGAGCTCAGAGAAGCAGGAGCCTTTTTGCTCAGAGCTCAGCCATGAACTGGCCACACAGTTGCTCTATTGCTCTCCAGGCATCAGGACCCCACAGTGACTCCACCTGGCAGCTTCCCCAGGCCCCTCCTCCCTGGCACCCTCACGGGAGCACCGGGCACCAGGGCAAGGTTCTCCAAGTGGGGGCCCTCCCCAGAGCAGCCCATCAGCAACTCCTGGGACACTGGCTAGAAATGCATGTTCTCAGGCCCCAACCCAGGCCTACTCAATTAGAGACCCTGGGTGGGAAGGCCCAGGAATCTGAGTTTTAACAAGCCCACTGGGGCATCGTGAGCACAATTCAAGTATGAGAACCACGTGGGAGCGCAAAGCTATCAGGAGCTGCTGATCCAGGGCTCTTTTTTGGGGTCCCACGGCAGGGCTTCGAGAGATCTGCGTGCCCCTGAAACAGTCTGGGCACCTGAGTGCCAGTTTCTGCAGAGAAGATCCACTGCTTCATCAGAGAAGGAAGGGGACCTGCCAAAGGCCACACGGCCACAGAGAGGCATGGCCCAGGCTCACACGCCAGCAGATGCCACCCCCGTCCAGCCAGCCCGTGGTGAACTCCCACTTACCTGAGAGATTCAAGGAGTTAATGTCTGTGAAATCAAAGTCTCCTGCAAAACAGAGACATGGGCACGAGTCAGAACACCAGCTGCCCGAGTGCCACGGCTGGACACTGCTGGCTCTCCAGGCTGAAGGCCGAACCTGCCCCCGGTTGGGAGGGCAAGGGGTAGGGTCTCAGCCAAGAGGCGGCCTAGCAACGGCAGCCCCACCTTTCTGACACACTCACTGCACGTTCTAAGGTAAGTCTCATTTGCTTTGTATTTCTGTGCTGCTAAAGATGCCTATGACTCAGTTCCCCCCTCCCCAGACCACAGGAAGTGGAAATGGGACACAGTCGGATAATGAGAAGGCCTCCTCCAGAGTAGAGTGGGAGAGGAAGGACAAAGGATGGTGGGGCCTTTTCCAGGGCAAGGCAAGAAACAGCCACCCGAGTCCTGGGCTTCCTGTTTCCTCTTTGGAGCCCCCGCTCCAAACTGCTCCTATCAAAGGGAACCTAGAACTCCGAAGACTTCATCCTCAGACCTTTGTCTCTCTCTCCTCTGACTCTACTCCCACCTCCCCCCACGCCAATACCCCTACTAGCACTGAACCTCCATTTGCCCTCTACATTATCAAATCCTGTTTCCAAGGTCCAGCAGACATGCCGCCTCCTCCAGGAAGCCTCCCTGGGCCTTTACATGACTCTGCCTGCATGCTGCATCCTTAGGTCTCTTCTGTCCTCGTGCCTGCTGAAATTCCAACTCTACAGCCACTTGGGGAGACTGGCCTCTTCATAGGCTCACACACACACTCAGGCTTGCACTTATCCATTTGGTGGGCTTGTTTTCTAACCTCTCGGGGGCTGGGTCTCGTCCTCCCAAAGAAGCCCACAAGCACTGAGGCCAAGGGCTGCACCTCCCATCTTCCTGTGCACCCCCCTCTAGGACAGTCTGGGGGGAGGAGGGAAGAAGAAGGAAGGGAGACCCTAGTCCCTAGTAAGCTTTTTGCTCCACCCCCACCCATCCCAACAGCCAGAGCTGGGCTCCAGCTGATGCACAGACGGACAGGTGACCAGCAGTCGGTTCTCTCCGGGGCTCCTCTTACCGATGGTTTCTGTCTCCCAGACTGAAACAGAGAGAGAGGGCACACAGAGGTGAGTGAGGGCTGAAGTGGGGTCTGCTCCCGGTGGGCCCTGCCGGCCCTCCCCCTCCCTCTTCCCCACCCTACCCCCAAATTCCAGAGAGAGGCTCTACTGGGGGCCCTGAGCCACAAGGACTACTAGCTGGGGGCCGGCCGGTCACTGAAGATTCCCACATCTCCCTCTACGACGGGACACAGTTACAGAAAGTGAGCAGGGGTGTCTGAGCGGAGGTGAGTGCTCTGCACCCCCAGAGCCCACAGAGCAGCGGCTACTACAGTGAGCACCAGGTCTGGCCCTGGGCAGCCGGTGGCGCAGAGAGAAATGCCATCTGCACTTCCTAAGTATTTAAGGTGAGTCTCACGAGTTCAGCTTTGGGAATGGAAACACTAAAAGGCGCCGCCACAGTGAGCCACGGAGCCTCACGTATCCAGGGCTCATTGACTGCACAAGTGCCAGGGCGGGCTGGAGTCGGAAGGAAAGTCTGTCCTAAGAAAATGTCATTTTACTGCTGACTCATTTTGCCTTTTGATGTTGTTGTTGTTGTTGTTAAAAAGAAGCTGTCTTGCCACGGTACCTGACCCAGAGTAGATGCTCGACAAACTTTAAATGGATGGATGAATGAAGGGGAGGAGTCCATGAGTGGGGGAGGCGACTAACATGATATCTACAGAAGTGAATTAGAGGGGGGGAGACAGGGCTGAGTCAGGGGCCACCCCAGCCTGACGCTGTCCCACTCACACTGCCCTCCCCTCCACTTTCTCCTCTTTCAACATCCACTTCCTATCCTGCTCTAGGCAGGGCATGATCACATCCAGTCCCCTAGTTGTCAGGATGGGGGCGTGTGGCTGCTGGTGGGAGATGTGGAGGTGGGAGGTGTGGCTCACAGGGGGGAGGCGGAGTCGGGGGATGCACCGCAGCCACACCCTGCCTTCTGATCTTGGGGTGGATGCCATGTGGGAGAGCCCAGCCTTGCCCCACCCGCAATGATGCGTCCCCACGTGGACCTGGGAGCCAAGTCTGAGAGGAACCTCTGTGTTCCTGTGAGCAGGAGGTCTGTGGTTCCCCCTCCCTGCCCCGAATGTGAGCTCTATGGCAGGGGTTATCAACGTGCCCGCAGGGTGCCCGATGTCCCTAGTGCTGTGTCCCAGGAGGGTCTGGGGCCCGGGTGTGGGGAGCGGGCTGGGCAGGGTGCGGCCTGACGAGGCCCCAGGGAAACCCACCTTGGTCTGGATAGATGATCTGGAAGAACTTGGGGCAGGTGATGAAGACCATCTCGCCCACTTGGGCGTGCTTCCAACACGTGATGTTGTCCCATATCCCGGGGCAGCCTGTGGGGGAGCGAGCCACGTGAGCCAGGCCCTGGCCACGAGCACCTCTCATGGTCTTGTCACCTCGATCCCCTAACATGGTCCCCAAGTCCTGACACCATGGGCATAGGGGAGGCAATGGGACAAGAGTTCACAAGGAGGGAACCCTGAGGACCCCCGTTTACAGGTGGGTAGAAGAGCTGCATGTGGCAGAATCAAAGGAGGAAGTGGGCGAAATGACAGGTGGCAGAGCACACAGTGCCAGGACAGGGTGTGCACGCTGCTGAGGGGCCTGCAAACAGGGGCTGCGGAGAGGGCCACTCTGCCAGATGAGGGACAGCCAGCGAGTAAGCAACAGTAGTGAGCTCACACCTGTAACACACCCGGCAGAGTGCCCGGCTTACTCAGTGAACACCCCCTATACTATTATCATTAATCTCATGATGTCAATTAGGTGTCCCTGGAAATCATTTCCCTGAGACGCCAGGGCAGGGAGAGGATGGAGCCCTGCAAGGTGAAAAGAAAGGCCAGCAGAGGGTCGCTAGCTTATCACAGGGCGGGCGCCAGGTCGGGAGGGACCCAGGGAAGGCCTCACAAACTCACGGCCTCTTTGTGGGTTCCCTGGCTGACTGGCTTGTGGGGGCTGTGTGGTCCGGGGGTGGTCTGCCTCTCCGAATCAAGACCTGGCTGTTTGGGGATTCACACTCAGTCACAGTAGCCTACAGGATTCCCTTCCTGGGGTGACCAAGTTTGGGAGCCCAGAGCACCACACAGAGTTCTGGGGATGACAAACCAGGAAGGCAAGGACACTGGGGGCCATGTGAGACCGCATGAGCTGTGTCCTGGGTGTCACAGCAACAGGCCGGTTACTGATGGTTCCTGTCCTACTCGCCCCCCAGCAGGGCTCCAGCCAGCACATGTCTGGCTGTGACATCAGGCCCTTGAAGGGGACCCAGCAGCACATCGGTGGCTGCCGTGGCCTGTACTGACCGTGGAATGATCAGGGAGTGTGGTCACGTCTGGTCCATGCCCCAGGAGCCCTGCTGACAGATGTTCCCTTAACGTGGAACATCAGGCCCTGGCACAGCCAGCTGCTAGTGCCAGCTGATGTCCCTGAGGTCCCAGAGCACTTGAGGTGGAGGTGAGCAGTCACGAGAACTGAGTGGCAGGGAGGGGTGCAGGGCTCAGGCAGAATGGCACAGGAAGAGGGGCTCCCGGGGTGGAGGTCCCAGGTCTGGAGGCAGGGTAGGGGAGTCATTCTCCTAACAACCATTTTCGGAGCCCACGCCACGGGTTGGTGCCCACTGGCCCAGGGTTACAGAGGCCGACAAAATGCATCTGAGAAGTCTGCATTCGAGGGTGAGGGAGAGAGGGAAAGGGCATGGTGTCCCCTCAGCTCCTGCACGGCAGTCACGAGACTGGAGTCTTATCTGCTTCTGCCAAGGGCTCACTGTGTGACTCTGGCCAGCCTCTACCCCCTGCCCCCTGACTCAGCTTCCCTGTGTACACCAGCTGGGGACACCAGCTGGGGACAGGGTGTCTCTGAGAGTGTCTCCGTGTGTGAGTGACTAGAGCTCACATCAGGAACAGAGGTTCACTGGGGACCTGCCGATGATGCCCAGAAGGACAGCTGAGGGGCTGGGGCGGCCTTCCCTGACCCCACGACCAGGACGAACATCCCCCAAGGGGAGTCTGCCAAGATCTCACTCACACAGGCGGTTAGGTAATGGTGTGGAATCCAGAGGGGAAGTCAGAGCTGGAGGAAGGGCAGGGAGCGGTCAGCACAGGAGTGCTACGGGGGGCCGTGGGACTGGATGAAGCATGGTATGAAAAAGCACCGGCGTGTGAAGGAGGGAAAAGAGGGTCTGGCCCCGCCAGAAGAAGGAGCGCCAACACCAGACGAGGGGCTGGTGAAGAAGGCTGAGGAGGGGTGGCCAGAAACACAAGGAAAACAGGGAGAGGTTAGGGACACCGCAGCCAAGAACTCGAGTGCTTCAAGTGGGACACGGTCAAGGGTGTCAGACACTGCTGAGAGGCTGTGAAGGTCACCCCCCACCCCCCGACCTTCTTGCCCCTGGCAGAGGAGGTGGGAGATCAGAACAGCTCCTAGTGCCTGGAAGAACTTGCTGCTCGGACACCCCAAGCCTCTTTACTCACCTCTCCCATCGTAGCCCAGCTCTGCACTGAGCCTGCCTGTGCCCTGCTGGCTCTGCCTGCCCCTGCCACAAACCCTCTGTGGAGCTTGGTCAGAGGAGCTCAGGTTCTGAAGTGGGGGAGATGCCCACTCGGCAGGCAGCCCCCACTAAGACATCTACACACAGCATCAGGAGAGGCTGTGCCTTATAAAAGCAGGAGGAAAGGATATTTGGGCAGGCAGAACAGAGAGGATGCAAGAGCCATTAGCCTGGACTGGAACAAAATACAGCACCAATCTCAGGTTGTCATGGTGACCATTCTGTCCAGTTCCACGCTGTGTTCAAAACCTGTGAGACCAGAGGCACCGAAGGAACTCAGACAAGGGTGCAGTCGTCCCTTTGAGAAGCCACCTGAGGATGCTTGGGTATTGTCAGAACAAGCCCCTCACTTTAGCATTAAAGTTCAAGGGCAAAAAATGATTTCAATTTACCGAAAGTGACTTTGCAGTCAATATTTCTGATTGGTGAAGTGCGGGCGAGCTGTGAGCACAGTGTGGGGGGGGGACCCAGGATGCAGTCGGTCTGGGGCCCTCAGGAGTGGAGACTCAGGTTCCCACGCACAGGAGCCTGTCTCCCTCCTCTCTGGCACAAGAGCACGGCAGCACAAAGGGCGCCCCGGGCTGAGGCCACAGACCTGGGGCCTGTCCCAGCCCTGGCTCAGGCCCCTGGTCTCAGCCTCTCCGTGTCTCATGGCAGAGCTGGGCTCAGCGCTGACTCGAGTCCCACTTAGCATTCAGGGGTTTGGAAATGAGGAATCACCAAACAAACTCCTCAGTAATGGTCCCAGTAAACACCTTACAATGTGCCAAGGATGCTGCAGACAAAAGCACCGAGTCAGAAAGCCTGCTTCCTCTCTCCAGGACCTCACCGAAATTCTCTGCCTCCCCCACTGCCTGCTCAGCTCCCATGCCATCCCCAGCGTGACCCTGTCCCTTAGCTGCCACTCTGAAGGCCACTATGCACATCACCGCCTAATGTTCTCTGGAAGGTGGAAGTCCTGGCACAAGGAAGGGGCAAGGGTTTAAGGGGCACAGGTGCCTTCCTGGGGCCCCCCAGCTCTACCCAGTGCCACACGCCTCGCCTCTGCCAGATCAGCATCCTCACCCCAATGCCCTCACTTTACTGCATTTAAAATAAACATACACATAAATACATTAAAAATATACAAAAGCCCTCACCATCACTGGAACAACCTGACAGATTTTCGCTTTTCATTTTCAGGCGTGTTTCAGGGAAGCTGGCTGACTCGGGGCCAGTGTGCTGTGTACCGCATGTGTGCTTGGGGACAGAAGGGACAGGGGAGATGCAGAGCAGGGGGACAACAGCAGGAGGGCGGCCTCTCTTGGTCACCCAAGCACAGATTAGTAACATAACGCACAACTGCTGATTCTAGTTACACTCAAAGCGGACGGTCTTTAAGCAAACTACATAACTGGCCTGTGCCTCCGTGTCTTCACCTGCAAAACTGGGCTGATAATAGAACCTACCCCTTAGTGGCTGAAGTAGTGATACAGGGTGCAGCCAAAGGGGGCCCCCCCCAGAAAAAGATTTGGAATGGTGTCCAGAATTCAAAGTGTATGGGAATGATGGAGAGACATATAAGATGTCCTCACCCCACCCCCACAGGTGTGAGTTGGGGGGGAAGGGACAGTTTTGCACAGCCACAGCCTTGCAGCTAATCCATGGCATTGTCTTTTAACATATCTATAGCCTCGGTGGTCACTTGGACATGTTAAATGGCTGTGGCCAGGCTTGGAGCTAGGGGGATGAAGTCACTTCCCCCCAAGATGTAACTGGGGGCAGGTCCCCCCAAGTTACAGCGCTTGCGTAGGGGCTTGGAGAAGATTGATTGGCTCGAGGACATGGGATGATTACTGCCCAGACTAACGATGGCAGCCCAGTAAACTTGTATTAATACAGAATACTGGCAGGTGTAACTGATTTTGGGAGGAGTCGGAAATAGGGGTACAGAGGAAGATGGGTGCTGGGATTTAAGAGCCAGGCACGGCAGCCATTGGGAGAGAGAGCCACGCGGTTTCAGCAGAGTGAGGACCCCCTGTTGGTGAGGTGAAAGAGGGAGCCACGTGGTTTTGGCAGAGTGTGGACCCCCTCTTTCCCAGGTGAAAGGGAAAAACCACGCAGCTTTGCCAGAATGGAGATCCCTGCAGCCAGGTGAAGAAGACAGCCACATGCTTTTGGTGGAGTGTGGACTCCTGCAGCTTTGGTAGAAGAGGCCCACGTGGCTTTGGGGTGCCCCCTTTGGCCGCGGGGCCTGAAAAGCAACAGAGACTTTGACTGGAACTGGGTACAAAGGACTCTTGCCAGTGGACTATGAGAGGGTACCACAGTACTTTGGATTAACTCGAGATCCTGCACGGTGACACAGCTGACGGTGCCAGCGGCCTGCAACACAGACGTGTGCTCTTTTCCTGATTTACGGTACCCGGAGTTGGGACAGAGGGAGAAGGGGAGCGCTGTGTGGGTGTAGGTGTACAACCTAAAGGACTTTGATATTTTAGTGGTGGCATTAGGCCTGAATAGCATTAAATAAACATTTTGTTTCCTTTTCACAAATCTCTGGCATTAAGAGATGTGTTTCCAATTGGCGGCGGACAGAAGGGCCCAGTAGATTTTAGTATTTTGGTTTTTGGGAGGGGCCCCTGTTGTACAGCAGTTTTGGGCATCCCTAGGTGGGCCAAATATTGTATTGCCCCTCCCTTGGACCTCCTCTTGTTCGGTAACAGTAGGAGCTAGTACGGGGCCAGGCAGATGGTAAATTCATGTAACTATGGGCCATCAAGTGACCTATTCCGCCTCCTCAATTAAACGCAGAGATTCTGAGACACAGAGCAGGAAAGGGCCGTGGAGGTGGTGGTCCACCTGGGTCCAGAGTCTCCTCTCCTTTTCCACCTGTTGGCTGTCTTTTTTGACTTAATTAGGTCTCAGCTTTGTCCTGCTGAGTCCATTCCTGTGACTCAGGGAGAAGTAGACCGTGGGAGGGTGCTGCCTCTACTCTCCTCTGGACACTCACGGGTAGAGGAGGGATATTGCCTTGCCTCCAGGAGACTCCTTCACGCTCTGCCTTCTGCCATGCTGAGCTTGAATGCCCCTTCCTCCTTGAAGTCCTCCCTGACTCACCACCTACACTCACCCCGCCCGGCAAGAAGGTCTTTCTCCCTCCACTGAATCCCACAGCACCAGCTGCTCCTCTCCCCTCTGACACGCGCCCCTGAACTGCAGTGAGCCCTGGCCTGCCCCTCCTGGGAGGGGTCCCTCCTCACTTCTGTCTCACACAAGTGTCTGCCAGGACAGCCCTGAGGGCCCTCCTTCTCATCCTCTTCCAGTCCGGGGCTCTACAGACATCTGTGCGGTAACCCACCTCTGCCTCCCCCCTTCCCTCTGGACGCTGCCCCACCCACAATGCACCTGACGCCTGTGCTGCAGACACAGTGGTCCTGGGCTGGGGGGCAGAGTACCCGGGTCTTGGGTCCACCTCAGGGCCCCACTTTCCCATCCCCTAGTCCAGCACCTCGAGACAGATTTGGGCCCCCTGCCTCAGGGTCCCTGGCTGGGGTGGCCTAGAATCCACTTGCAGCCTCGGTTAGGGCTGAGCCAGAGCTTAGCAGGTGGGCAGGGCCAGCAGGCCCAGGAGCAGCTCCATTACCAGTTAATGTTCACTGACTGGCCAGGGAGCTTGGCCTGGAGGGACCGTTACACGTAACTGGGCTGCAGATTAATCGAGTATTTAAACAGACGGTGCCCAGAAGAGCTCCCTGTAAATGGGGAAAGTCGGAAGGGAGAGTGGCTCCTTCCAGTCTGGGCAGAGAGTGCCCCCTGCAGCAACTGGGGTCTGAGTGAGGCTGGTGAGCCCCCCAGGATGCCCCCAGCCCCTCAGCCCCCCACATAGCCCCTCGGGGAGTCAGGAATTGGGCAGTTGAGGGTGCCCTCTCTCTGGGCCTCAGTGTCCCACCTGCACAGTGAGGGAGTCAGGGGGGTAAGGGAGTCGCACAGGAGCCCTGGTTCCCAGCCACTACCTGGGGACATCTTGAAAAGCTGCAAGGCATTCAGGGTTGTCACTGGGGCCGGGGGAGTCACAGGTGTCCCGTGGGGAGAACTGAGGCTGCTCGATGGCCTGCGGTGCCTCTCCGGTGGAGGAGGCAGGACCCCTCCCCAGGCCACTGGCGGCCCTAGGAGAAGTGCTGCCCAGATAGGCCAAGGGCTGGGGTGCCCGCTGCTGCCTCATTCCCAGGCTTCTGATGGAATGAGCAGAGAGGGTGGCGAAGGGCCCCCCCACCGCCGGCCCTGGCAGCCCAGGTGCTCTCCAGCTCAGGCACTGGCAACAGCTGCGTCCCTGCTGCCACCAGGCCCGGGCTGGCTGCTAACAAGCTCGCTGACAGCCAAGGCCCAGCCCAGACACCAGCTCTGGCCCAGCCGTGGGGATCAAAGGCAGCCCCATGCAGCCGCCCAGAACAACCCCTCCCAGACTGGGGCACATGGGCAGGCCCGTCCCCAAGGACAGCAGCCCCAGTGCAGACCTAGAACTTTTCCACCTGGAAGGACTCTCTAAGGACCTCGGGACCTGCGCCCTCCACCTTTCTTTGCCAGGTGGCTAGAGGCTGAAATACCAGTTCTAAAGGCTGGCCTGGATGTGCTGGGGACAGTGTCCCCCCGACACCCTACTCACCTGGGGAGGAGTCATTGAAGCCCATCTGCTCTTTCTCCCTCTGGATCTTCTCCAGACACATGGCTTTCTCCTCCTTCAAGATGCAGTTGAAGTGCATGGCGGTGGTCTGCAGGGCACAGGTGACAGACATATGGGATGGGGTGGGTGGGGGGAGCAGGGAGGATCATCTGGAAGCCCTGCTCCCTAATCCCTGGGGGTGGTGCGGGGGAGAGGGCAGAGTAGGGAGGGGGTGGTGACAGAGATGCAGGAGGCAAGGGCCCTGACAACCACTCTGTCACCAATCCCCTGAGCGCTCTTCTTTCCCAACTCAGTGTGCGACCTTGGATAGATCCCACCCCATCCCTGGCTCTCAGTTTCCATGTGTTATAAAAATCTAGCAAACGCTATATAGCGCTTTTTTACCGCATGCGTACATTTAGTAAATACTCTTTTACCATTTCTCATTTTACAGATGTGAAACTTAAGCCCAGAGATATCAGGTAAGTTGCTCAGAGTCACACAGCTTAGTAGACTGTACAGCCAGGATTTGAACCCTGGCAGGCTGGTTCCATAGATCATGAGCTAACTACTGCCCTTTAGGGGAGCAAGGAGGGGCTGGGTGGGAGGAGGGGCTCAAGTGAAAGGCACTGGCGTAGGAGCAGCGGCAGCATTCAGCGGGCCCGGGAACCAGTCTCATTTACCCTCACCCCATTTCACAGAAAAGGACACTGAGGCTCAGAGAAGTTAAGAAACTCCCACCCAAGGTCCCACAACTGGTTAGTGGCAGATGCTGTATTCAAGTGCAGGACGCCTGCTATCATGACCGCTGCGTTCCAGTGCTGTGCCTAACGCACAGTTCAGGGGCAGCAATGGTTCCTGAAGGGCACCACGGTGAGCACAGAGGCACCTGAGCTGCCAAGGGCGGTATGCAGTCCTGCCCCTCCTCCCCAGGCCTCAGCGTCCCATCTGCACAGTGAGTTAGAGGCAGGGGGTCACACAGGAGACCTGTTTCCTAGCCAGGGGCCATGCCACCACCAGGGGACATCTGGAAATATCGTGAGGCATTTGGGGTTGTCACTGGGATCAGGGCATTCGTGGGCATCTAATGGAGAGAACTGAGGCTTCTAGGAACAGCGACAGGCCCTTGATCACACACTGAGGCTGGGCAGAGGCCAGACACAGATCCTGGGCTCTCAGGATGGCCCTATCCATGCTGGTCTGAATTCCCAGCCCAGGGCAGGGGCCCAGGTCTGGGAACCCTCCCTGCTCCCCTCACTCTGGGAAGCACACAGCAAAGAGCAGGCTGCTGAGCTCTAACCTGGCAGAGACATGCAGGCAGGGGCCTAGGATCCTCAGTGCCCTCTGTAGCCCTGGCCAGGGCCCCCGACTAGGATGTGAGCTGCATGGCTCTAAAGATTCCCACCCACGGCATCATCATCACAGATTTGCAAACTATAACAATTTCTGCTCAAGTTGGCTGAGGATCTGGAAGATGGGCCCCCTTCCTAACTCACACAAAGGTCCTGGATGGCCCAGCGAGGGTGGGGGCTCCAGCTGGTGATGGAGGGGACAGTCCTGGGTCCTTACCATCGGCAGCAGAAGAAGGGTGGCCAGGGAGGCCTGCATGACGTTGGCCTGGATGCTTCTCAGCCAGAAAGGAGGCTCAGGCCAGCCCGCTCGCCTCCCACTCAGAGCAGCCGCTGGTCAGCCCCAAGGTGGCTAGGGCTAGAGAGAAAGGAAAGGCCTGAGTCCTGCAGACCCCGTGGCAGAGGAGGGGCAGGGACAGCCTGGCCCTGCCCAGGACCTTCTCCCCTACTCGCAGCAAGGAGCCTCCATAAGGAGCCCCTCCTGCCTCCGTCCAAGCTGTTCTCTGCTCTGTCCCACTAATATCTGCTGCACACCTGCTCAATGCTAGGCACAGGGGAGCATGGACTCCTAGGGCCCCCACTGGATTCCTGGGGTGCTCCGGGTGGCTTTCTCCTCTGTGGCAGACGACTGCATCCCCAAATATGCCTCTACAACCAGTTTTTGTTGTCACATGCATGCCTACTCAGGGAGGGCACTTCCTTGTCCCCCATGCTCTCAAGTAAGGGCATGTGATGAAGTTCCTACCTATGGAATGGGGGTGGCAGGGACAGGGGCCACTTGTCCGCAAGTACCACACACTGTTCATTTCCACTCCTGTGCCCTTCCCAAATGCCAGACCCAACCCGGCTCTGATGGGGCAGCAAAGATAACACCTGAGGGGTGGGGCGAAACACTCCAAAAGGAACCAGGGTGCCTGGGGGAGCTCGGGGAGCTGGGCCACCACCACCTGCCCCCCCCCTCGCCCCGGCTCCAGACTGCTGCGTGCGAAAGAACCACACTTCTAACTCGCTCAGTCGTAGAGAGCCGCTTTGTTCCAGCTGCCAAGACTAGGCCCCTCACAAGCATCGCCCCCTTTCACCCTGCCTCAGCCCACTGGGCCTCCAGCACAAAGCCTTCACCTCCACAGCATACAGAGCAAAGCGGCTGCTGAAGGACGAGTGGCCACCCCAGAGCGGCAGGGGCTCCAGGCCCCTGCAGGACTGAGGCCACCAGTGGGGACAACAGGGTGCGGGAGTCAGGAGAGGAGGCAGTGGGAGCCCCGGCACATTCCCAGGGGATGAGTCTGGTCTGCGATTATCGGAGCATGTTCACATCGCCCGACGATCCCGCATCTGGATTTTCAGCTGCGCAGAAGCACACTCACAGAGCAGAGAACAAAGATGTGGGCAAAAGCACACAGCAATTCAGGCATTCCGGTGTGTTTATCAGACAGTGGGCATACAGAGTGAAATGCACACTCACACACACTCCTGTGCAAAGGCACTCAGCTGTGCAGAGGCAATGAGATCTGTCTGGATTCAGGCACACAGGCACAAGCACACCCGTGCACAAGCACACACACGTGCTCACGCAGGAAAGCCAGACGGGCAGATGCTCATCGCGCTCTCTGGCAGCTCTGCTCCTCAGCTGCCGCTGCCCTGGACTGAAAACACGCCAGTGCAGAGGCCTCAGCCTAACCACCCATTCCCCTCCCCTGCCTTGTCACCCGGCTGCTCAGGCAATGAGGGGACAGCCAGGAGCCCTGTGTGGCCCCAGCCCAGGGACACAGGGTGGACTGGGTGGGGTGCTCTCCACACGTGTCTCCCTAGGAACTAGACCTGAGGTTCTTGATTCCCACTAGTGCCTTCTCTTGCTTTTACTGAGATGAAATTTACATATAACATTATACTCATTTCAAGTGTACATCACAATGCTTCAATATCTATGTAGTGCAAAATGACTACCAGTGTAAGAAGTGTGGTCCATGTCCAGCACCATGGTTACAAAAATCTTTCTCTTGTGTTGAGAGCTTTTAAGATCTACCCTCTTATTCACTGCTGTCCTCTCTTGTTCACCCACTCCCATGACAGTCCTCCCCCTGGCCCAACTGGACACAGACACAGCAGCGAAAGTGACCCTAGAAGCTCCAAAGGCTTGACCCTCCCATTCCCCCACCTGAGCTGGGGACCAAAGGGGTCAGGTCCTACAGCCTCTCCAAGAGGTGATCTCCTCAGCCCCTCCTGGCACCTGTGCTGGACAGTGCTCAGAGTTTACGATGTTAGACTGACTGGCCCACACCTGGTCCTCCCTTGGGCCGCATGAATGCATCCCCCAGGTCTGCCCCCAGAGCCTGTCAGCTGCTCCTGCCTCCCCCAGGCTGCCATGACCCTCTCGCAGGACAGGGCCTGGCTCCTGCACCGTGGGATTGGGCCCTCCCTTCCTTGAGGATGGAAACTGGGCCCCTTTGCCTCGCCACACAAGTGTCTCAATATGACCTGGTCCCCTTCGTCCCAGGCTCTCGCTCTCTCTCTTGGGTCCAGGCTCTGCTGGGGTAATTTTGCAGCTGATCCAAGGACAATACACAGTATCTCCTAACACTCATTGTGGTGGATTTATGGGTCATTTTGCTGGAGTTTCTAGCCTTAGGGCCTTAAACAAGCTACTTGGCTCTTCTGTGCTTCAGTTCGATTAGCTGTTAAATGGGGTAAGAGGAGCACCAACCTCACAGACATTACTGGGAGGCACCCACGACTTCAAGTAAGTAAAACCGTGGAGGACGCAGGACAGCCCGGCCCCCTGGTCAGGGCTGTGCGTACATTAGCTCTTTTTTTATGATCTCACCACTGGTGTTCAGAGTTTTGAACCATCTTGCTGTCACCTCTATCCCCACAGCCCTGTGTCACATTCAGAATGAGGACAGCAGGCCAGCTGCACCTTTCTTTACTAATGACTAACATTTATTAAACACTCAGTATGTGTCAGGCACACTTCCAAGCAATAAATATGCATTAATTCATTTCACCTGCCCAAAGCTATGAAGTAGTTACTGGCATCATCCTCATTCTACAGCTGAGGTGACCGAGGCACAGAGAGGCTAAGTAACTTCCCTAAGTTCACACAGCAAATATGTGGTAGAGCTGGGAAGTGAACTCAAAACATCTGGTGCCAAAGCTCATGCACTCCATGCCTACGTTCCTGCCGGCCTCTGTTATTGCTGAAAGGAAGCTCAGCTCAGAGTCTACCAACACCCCATCAGGACCCCTGTCATCTGCTGGGAAACTGCTCAGGCCTTCTGCTACCACTTCTCTATCTGAAGAATGATCCTTAGAAAGATGTCATTGGAAACTCAGCCTTTGAGTCCTGAAATAGACTTAGAAGACCACCACTCTGTGGTACTGAGTTACCTGTGGGGAAGCTGAGAATGGAGAGGGGCAACGCTTCCCAAGGTCACACAGTGGAGAGTCGTGGGCCCCTGCCCGGCAGGCACCGAGGTGTGCGGACACCTGAGCTGCAGGGGAGTCCACCTCCCCCATTCCAGATTCAGGGATGTGTGTCCTCCTCAGGCCCCATCAGCCCAGTGACAAATCAGAATGGGGAGCTGACAGGAGCAGCCAAGTGTCACCGCCCCCCACCCCGGGCCGCTGCCCCTGCCTCATGAGCCACTGAGCCAGGCACCCAGGAAGAAGGCATCACTCATCAATCGGCACAGCAGAGCCAACGGTGAGTCACTGGGCTCCGGGGACTCAGAGACCCTCCAGACCTCCCCTCACTGCCCCACACATTGCAGGACCCTTCCTACACGGCAGCCCAGGGGAAGATGGCCCGGCTCCTCGAATGGGGTGCTGACCCCTCTCCAGCAGCTGGTCCAGGACCCCCACCCCCCACGGGGTAAAAATTCTAATATCTTCCCACCATGGCTTTTTCCAGGCCATTCTTTGCCTTGTGGAAGCCCCCACAGTGGGAGGGCAGCGTCTCACCTTCCCTTTCCCCCAGGACACACAGTCCTGGGTCTCTCTCCAGCTCTCACAGCGCTGGGGCCGTCTGAGCCACCTCTTCTGGGACTCCTCTGGCTGCTCAGCGCCCCTCCCTGTCACCAGGTAGGGCCCAGATGGACACCAGGTGGGCGATAACCCAGGAGAAGTGCCTCACTGGCCTCCCTTGCTCTCTGCACACTCCCTTCATTAACAAAACCAGGCAGGCCAGTCTCCCCCAGTTCCTCCCCTCCCTCCCAATGCGGGAAGCCAGGGGTAAAGCTGCAAGATGAAACATCGCCCACCTCCCCGTCAAAGGCAGGGCGCTGCCCTTGCCTCTGGGGAGGAAGGGGCCCCTCCAGAACCTCTTTCCTCCTCCAAAAGGTCAGGGCTGAGAAAGGGCAAAGCCCAACACCCTGCTGAGGGGCATCCGCGCAATCGAGGAGTTCGTCGTTAATGCGGATACTCCTCTTTGGTGTTCACACCTTCCCCTTTCAGAGCACGGCCACTGGGGTCCTGCGTCCAGCAGGTGACAGAAGTCAGGTGCCCGGAAGGGACCCTGGCCACGACCTCACCCAAGTCCTGCATCTGACACGGGGGAGCAGGGCTCAGGCAGGGAAGGGCCAGGCGCAGCACACATGCCGCGCTTTTTCTTCTCACAGGTAAGGGTTCAAGTCCTCTCCTGAGGTCATGTTGAAAAGCCCTTCCACACTGGACCGCCCAGGCCCATCTCCAGCCCTGGGGGGTCCTGGGTGGCCTCTGCCAGGGAGAGCCCCCCTGGGGACCGGACAAAAGGGGAGGAGAGGAGAGGGGGAGGAGGAAGCAGAAGATAAATGAAAAAGAGGGGGAAAGAGTAAGGTGGGAAGTGATGGGATGGGCAGCAGAGGAAGGAGGTGCGGAGGGAGGGGGAGAGAGAGGGGGCAGGCACTTGTCTGCTGCTGTTCACCAAGTGCTGCCTGGCGTGGGGTGGGAGGGCCAGCTCCAGGGCCCCAGCGCCTGGGGCAGGCAGGGCACTTAGCGGGGGGCTTGCAGGGGGTGGCTTGGAGGGCAGAAAACTGTTGAGTGCTTGGTGGATGGGTCTGGAAAGGTGACTTGGGGGTGTGGAGGGGCACAGTGAGCTATCAGGGGGTGGGAGGGACAAGAGGGCGAAGACTGCAGGTGCCAGGGCCGCCACAGCCCTGTTCCACTCCAGCAGGGAGAGTCTGAAGCAGGGGAGGAAGGGGACAGGGTCCCCGTTTAGGGAACATTCCTCAGAAAGCTGGGGAGCTTGGTGGGAGGGGAACAGGCAGGCAGAACCCCGGCTGAGGCCACTTTCTGGATTCAGGGCAGCAATGGAGCCCTGGGAGGAAGGGCAGCTGGGATGGAAAGACAGAAGTGGGGCCCAGAGACACTCGAAAAGCAGGGAGGAAGGTCTCTGCGGCCTGCCCCCGAGGAAGAGGCAGGACGGGAATGGCAGGAGGTGACAGGAAGGATAGAAAGAAATTCGAGGCAGGACCTAGCTCACCAAACGGCCTTAAATTAGAAGCTGGGAAACCTGGAAGTATCTGCGAAGGAGCTTTGCATCTTTTTCTCAGCTGCCCCTCTGCTGTGCCCATTTGTAGGCAGGAAAGGTGAGAACCATTAAGGCAAGGCATGGAGCTGAAATTCGAGTGTCCCGGTAGTTCTTAAAGCCAACTCAGCCTCCTACCACCACCTCCAGGAAGCCCACCTTGGGTGCACCTGCCTCCACTGACCCCACCCTCCTCTGCAAACCACCAGCCCTAAATGCAGAGCCCCTCACCCCTGCTGGGGACGTTTGAGGTCTCACCCTGCTCATTGTGAGTTTCAGTCTCCTCTGGAAACAAGGGGCATGTCCAGGTCTCCCTGTGGTCTCCCCTGGTGGCAGTGGGCACAGACCTGGGCACAGAGGGTGAATGGAAAAGCAGGCTCTGATGAATTCAAGTGATGTGAGGTTGCTTCGTTTTCAGTCATGAATGTGGTCTCCAGGTGTCCTTTGAGTGAGAGATTTATCACGTGGACAGAGTGAAGGCCTGTCTGGGGTAGCATTCTCGGGCCAGGCAGGCAGCCTGTCCTGGCACTGACCCATCAGACAGAGGTGCACGCAGGCTGTGGGCAGAGAGGAGGACAGCACCCCCGCCCCCCAGGGCAGCCCCAGCTCTCAGCACTCCGCCCATCCGGTCCTCAGCCTCTCAATCCACCTCTCACCTCGTAGCCCAGGTCTTGGCAAACCGCTCCAGCAGATCGGGTCCAGCCTGTCACCTATTTTTGGACAGCCAGTGAGCCAAGAATGGATTTTTTCATTTTTAAATGGTCAGGGGAAAAAATGAAAGACTCCCATTTCATGACACATGAAGACTGTGTGAGATCCAAATCTTGGTGTCCATAAATAAAACTCATCAGAACACAGCTGTGCCTGCTCATTTCTCTGTCACCTGCGGTTGCTGTCCCGCGACAGCAGCAGAACTGAGTAGCTGCAACCCTGTGTGGCCGGCGATGCCCCAGACACTGCTGATCGGGCCCTTTGCGCACGCCCACCAGCCCTCGTCCCAGTCCCAGGCAGCAGCCTACTTCCTGCACTCGATTCAGCGTTTATTAAGGAGGACTCTGGTGACCTCCCCGGGACAAACGTCGGAGTCCTAGGTAGCTCTACATCTGTGTAAGGGCACGCATCCCAATGTCTGTTTGTCTCTCTGCTGCCACACGCTCTACCCCAGCTCTCTGGCAGGTGTCACAGGAAGCCTCAATGCCTCCCCAGCGGTGTGTCACTGCCTCTTAGTGTGTCACCGTGGGGGTGGCTGTCACCATGTGTCTCTGACGACACCCAGGGCTCAATACAAACTCGTCGCAGCCGAGGAGCTGTCTGGCCCGCTAGGCCTAGCCGTTCAGACCCTGGACTCAGACGCCTCTGGTCAGGGGTGGTGGAAGCTGCCCGGGCCTCTGGGTCTCCCGGCTTTCCACAGGACCATCCTCCGCGCCGCCAGGCAAACCTGTCTAGGGCATCGGACTTCTGTTCCCTGACCAGGAACTTATATCACCAGGGGCAGGCTTCCCACTGGGTGGCCCCCAGGGCAGCAAGCCTTCCTGGGGCTGAGCCGGGCAGAGCTGAGCCTTGGCCCAGTGCTTGGCACACCTTGGCTCGGCCCCTGGCACACAGCACAAGGTGTCTGTCCTCTACTTAATCGGTGCCAGCCCCAGGTCCCTGAAATCTCCCTCCCTGGGAGGGAGGCCAGAGACAGGAGGCCACGTGCCCAGGAAGAAAGCCACCTTGGGGCCTTATTGCCTGTATTTCCTAGCCTTGGAGTTGAGTGTGCTGATTGTAAATACCCATTTTCTGCATGTTTGTTTATTCAGCACAATTGAGAGAGTATCCCAAAGCAGGAGCACAGTAGAGCTGTGACTGCGGGAGGAAAAAGTGGGTTCTGAAGCTGTCTCCAATCACCCCCCTGCCAGCCTGAACCACACACAAAACAGGGCCTTGCTGGTACCTGGAGCCTGATTAGCCCTTAGAGTACAGAAAAAGGCCCTTCAAGGGGCTCCCACACACACCTGCCCTCCCTGTGAGCAGGGGCAACAGACACCCAGGTCTTGTCCCAGCCGTACCACCACAGATGAACGGGGGGGAGGAAGAGACGGGCCGTCTCCTGGGTCACCCCCCCACACACACTTGTTGATGGATTGGTTGGAAGGGCCTGCCCAGTTCGCTCTGTCTCTACTTTATCCGTTCAGATTTCAGCTTGTGTCCAGACTGGTGACTCTGCTTGCCCTCCCCAAGGTCAGTGGGGAGCAGGAGCCGGTTTGCTTTGTGACAGTGGGCTCTTCCAGCCTAACTGACCCCACCTGAGCCCGGCACCTTTGCAAACTCAGAAGCTGGATGCTGCTGATACCTCCCCCCACCAAGGCTCAGTCAGGGCTTCACCCCCTCTGTAGCCCACAGACACTCCAACGCCTCTAGCCTGGCCTACGGGAGGCTCATCTGCCCCTGCCCACCAGCAGTGCCAAGGCAAGTGGCCCTCCACAGACTGTGCATAGCCGCCTCCATCCCACGTCACCCCCACCACACACACACACACACACACACACACACACACAGGGCTGCTCACAACAAAAGGTGCCTGGTGTTTTAGGGGGTGGGGTTAAGAGGGGGTGGCTTTGGGGGACACTGTGAGCCTGGGGGAGGTAGAGAGAGGGACTGACGCACTTGCACTGAAGGCACACATTCCGTCTGTCTGCGGGGCTCTACAACCCTCCCCCCCCCCCCCCGGCATCTTCCAAAGGGGGCTGGAGCTCCCCTTTGCAGGGGAGAAGCTCCACTCCCCAACTCCACGTGAAATACCACCAGCTTCTGGCTGGGCTCCCCTCTGACCGTCTAGCTCCAGCCATTGGCGTCCTGCCCCTTCTGATGCCCAACATTTACCCCCCCCCACTCCCGGATGTGGCCCCCTCCTCGGGCAGCTGCCACAGAAACCTGTACCTTTAAGGCAAGATGCAGGGGTCTCCGGCAGACCCACTTCAGCCTCTGAGGCAGGTGCTCTCTCCCACAGGCCCTTGGAGGGTGTTTCCTAGCAGGACCACCCAAACCGTCCGGACTCCAGCCCCTTCACGCTGCGGGAAACTGAGAGACGATGCTCCTTGGGACAATCCCCAATGTGTCACCGTAAGGGGGCATTCTCTGATGCCCATCTCCTACTGAGCACATTGCTTGCTCACCCCTCAAACCTCCTGAGGCCTGCAATATCCAGCACCCAGAGACCCGCCAGCATCACCTTCCCAACCCGCATAGGCGCCTCATGTGCCTTGGGAGTACAGACAGGTCCTTATGGGTTGCTGTGGGTCTCCCGGGCCACAGTGCGCTCACAGACCCTGGTCCTCCCTTCTGGCACCAGAAAGGGCTGGAGGTAGCTAGCCGACCCTACCCCAAAGCCTGGCCCCCGGACATTTGTAGGGAGAGGGTATCAGACTGTCATGCAGGAAGGGAGCAGCGACTGGAGGAGACTTCATTTCGGATTCGGGAGGTTGGCCCCGCGCTGCCCTGGCCCGCTCTCTGGCGGTAGAGAACGCAGCTTGCGGGCATTATCGAGCTGGAAGAGGAGGTCCGCAGTATCCAAGGGGCGAAGATTCTGGGGTGTGGGGAGGGCGGTCAGCATGGAGGGACAGGGGAAGCCAGGCGACCCTTACCTGCTCTTGGCGGGGCCTGGCCACCGGGCTACGTGCTGCAGCTCGGCTCGGGACAGACTCCGCAGGGAGGGCGTGCAGCTTCCAGTCCACGTCCCACGTCGCCCGGGGATCGGGAGCTTGTGCCCGAGGAGCGAGTGCCGATCCCGGGTCTCCGTGTCTGTGTGTCAGCGGATAGCCGGTGGCCGTGGGTCCCTGCGGGTGGCGAGCGGGTGCGCGCAAGCAGGGACCGCGCTCGCCTAAAGCCGCTGCTGTCAGTCACCGCCCGGGGCCGAGCGCTGCGCCCCACGCCCGCCCAGCAGAGTCTGCCCCGAGGGAGAGGCGCCGCCTCCGTGGTGAAGCTAGGCTCTGGGCGGGAGAGAAGCGACCTACTACCCCCTCCCCGCCCCCACTCTGCGCACTTCGCAGGCTGGGGGTTGGGGTGCAGGCCAATGAGCGCCTGGGGGAGGGGTTAGGCCCGGGCCATAGTAGGAGCAGGAGCGGGACCCCGCCCGCTGCTTTCTCCTTGCTTCGACGTGGACACCAGCCAGAGCTGCGGCGCCCACCCACTAGCCAGGGATGCGGGGGTGGCCACTCCCCCTTCGTCGCTGGGCTTCCGGGGCTCAGAGTCTGGCCTTCCCCGGGGCTCACCGCACTCCTTCCCACCCTCCTCGAGATACCCAGAGCAAGAAAGCTCTGATCTTTCTCCCTCCCACATCCTCAGGATTCTGTGTCCACTAGAGCCTGTCTTCCTCCTCCGCGAAGCCTTCCTTAGCCAACAAGTCCTAGATTCTCTTGGTTTCTGTGCCCCCACAGCCCCGACCTGAAAAGATCGGCTAACTTTGGGGTGCCTGGCTGAATGTTTTCAAATGTGACCACCCAGAGAATGCTATGTTCAGAAAATGGGGGTGCCTGGGGGGCGCATACGGGCGGGGGGGCGGTCAGGGGGAGGTGCTACAGCAACCTCAAACTGCCTGCACTCCAGTCCCCAGCGCAGGGCTAGCTCTGAAAGCTTGGGCAGGTGACTTGCTTCCTCTGTGCCTCTGCTTCCTCATGCATCTTGACAGACCCCATAATAGGTTTCCACTGACTTTATTTACTCACCGAAGAACGAATTACTGTTGCCATTATTATTGTGATCCCACTGAATGAACCTCCTCCTAGTACAGATGGGTAAACCGAGGTTTCATAAGAACTAAACAAATCAAGGTCATGTAGCCAGTTGGTGCCTGAGAACCCACTCCCAGTATTCAGCCTCTGCTCTCCCCAACCTGCCATCCCTGCTCTCAACATCTGTCTGGTCACCGTCCCAGGAGCTCCCTCCACACCCCCGTTGACCTCTCTGCAGCCAGACTCTGTCCTTCCGCATTCACACCACTTATTGTCCAGCCTCCCTGTGGGCCCAAGTCCTGGCTGCGGCCACCTTGCTGAGGAAGTTTGAAGGAAGAGGAGAGCTGAGAGACCAAGCCTTTCCTTTGGGATTCCAGTCCAACGGAGGAGAAGAGGACTGGAAGGTAGAGCAGGAGTCCGTGATGGAAACTCACAGGAAGCATCTGAGGCCCCGGAAAGATGTGCAGAGTTCCCTGATGTCCGTGCAGCGAGTCGATGGTCTCTTGGTATTGTGCAGTGAACGCTGGCCCTGCTGCAGCACCGCACTGTTGGTCACTGGGATTCATGTTCCTTTCAGTCCCAGAAAGCTTCCTGGAGGAGGAGAACATCAGTCCTCTGTATCAACAAAGAGTGAAGGCCTTCTGGAGAGGTGTCCTGCTAGAATCAGACAGCCTGACAGACCGGACTTCCCTCCGGACCTGGCCTGTGGCCCTAGCCCCTGGGAGTCTGCTTCCCTCACCTGGACAACCTGGCATTGGGAAGATCAAATGAGATGCTGAGTGTGAAAGTGTTCTGTAAACTGTGAAGTGTCATTAGAAGGGAGGAAGGGCTGCCAGGAATCTTAGAGTCAGGAGGGAAACGTGGAATGAGGCATGCCAGGCTGTTAAGTGTAAGGTGGGGTGGCAGCGAGAGTCATCTACTGCAGGCCAGCTCACCTGGAAATGCTGATGGTCAGGCCCCCCGAGGAGGTCCCCTCAGCTCTGAGGTTGACATTCAGTTCCAGGCTTATTCCTTTTCATATACTCTGAGCTCTCCAGGCCCCATGGTGGGCTCTGGATCCCCTGCACTCTGTTCTGCATCCCCAGATGTATGTCATGGTGTGGTCAGTGAGCAGACTGGCATGAGCACCCCTTCCTCTCAGATGCAGCTTGCTCTCTGCAGGGCAGTAGCAGGCATGGGGAGGAGCCCAGCCACGCTGTGCTTACAGCCTTTCCCTTTACCTCTTCTCCCCTGGTTTCAAGGCCCCGGGCCGGGGGGTGAGATCCTAGCTGACTATATCCAGAGGCAAATCCGGGCTCCAGGTCCCACTGTGCAACTGGTGCCCCACACAAAGGGGCTTGGCCAAGGGTCGAGTGGGGCTAGAAATCCAGCTTCCGCTCTGCCCACTGCCCACCAAGCCAGGCACACAGAGTTCACCCCAAGGGGGCGGTTTTTCTAGTCATTCCTGGAGGGGCACCCCTCTAATCTCCCCAAGGTGCCATGTGGGCTAGCGGTCCTCATAGATGGATCTCATCCAAGCCCCACCTAGTAGCATTGGCCTGGGGAGACATGGAAATGAACCTCAGCTCTGGGACTCTGGGCCTTGTCTAGTCCCCTTCTCTGTGCATGAAGTACCTAAGCCCAGAGGGGCCACAGGACAAGCCCAAGGACATACAGGCAACTTTCTTATCACATTGGGGATCGAAACCCACATTCTGGTGCCCCCCTTAGTCCTACCTGGTGGGCTGCCCGATCATGCTGGGGGCCCTGGCTGGGCATTCTTGTCCTGGACTATGTTCTGCCCATTCAGGCTTATGGCTGTGGCCCTTGCAAGCAACCTTGGTTCTTCCTGAGCAGGTGTCCGGTTCCCCAGAATGGGCCTCCCCAAGGACCAGGCCAGAGCCTCCTTCTTTTTCCAAGCCCCCTGCCTACCTGGCTTCGGGAAGACCAGAGGCTGTGAGATCAGCCTTGGGAATGGTCTTCTCCCAAAAGACCCCTTTGCATTGCCTATGCTCCCCTAGGGAGGGGGGCTGGGGGTCTTCTCACCAGCTTGTCCCTTCCCTGAGGTGCTCACTGCCTTAGCTCCCTTCCATAGCCAGCCAGCCAGCCAGACAGGCAGCCGCTCAAAACTATGGGATTTAATTCAATTTTCTGAGCCGTGGCTGAGGGAGATAGATGCCAGGCTGCCCTACCCAGTATTCATCTCTCCTGAACAGCAGCTCCCTGTGAGGCCTGCCCCCCTAAGCCCCCACCCCACCCAGCCCTTACCTTGCTAGGGCGGGACAACAGCACCTTCAAGGACCCCAAGGCGTCTTGATAACGTAAATAGCTGACGTTTGCTGAATGCTCCCCTTGTCTTGGGCCAGTGCTTCTCGCCCCCACTGGTGCTGCAGGGTCCCTGGGGAGCTTTGAAAACACACCCGTGCCTGGGCCTCCCCACCCGAGATCATTAGACAGTTGGTCTGTGGTGAGGCCTGAGCAAAAGTATTTTTTTAAAGCTCCCCAGGGGATTGTAATGCGCAGTCAAAGTTCAGAACCATGGCCGTAGGCCCCCTGCTAAATGCTTTGCATGGGAGCGTCCCTCGTGCACCCAGTACCCGGCAGGGGAGGGCCGAAGTGCTGTCTGTCCTTCAGCCCCCCAGCAGCCATGGGCAGTCGGTTCCCTTTTGCCCAGGACTCAAAGAGGGTGGGGAGTAAGGGCCTTCCGCACATTTAGTTCACATCTGGGGGTGCCGTGGGCCTGAATGTCAGACTGCTGAAGACGTGTTTGTTTCCACCAACACTGGAGGAGCACAACACTGATCCTGGGTGACTTCTCACTCAAGCCAGTGGGACCCGCAGGTCTTTACTGTGCCAGCTCTGAGACAAGTTTTATTCAGAAGACCCCGCTCGCTGGTCAATTCCTGCACCAGACGGCCAGAGAGGCTCCAGGGGGGCCCAGATGCTTACGGAGGGCCCACTGGGACACCACAGGGCAGAACCAGGGAGGCTCTGGAACACCGAGCCCCCTGAAGGTGTGTAAGCCCATTGCTCCATGAAGGTCTTCCTTCCCCAGACCCTCAAGCTGCAGAAAAATTCCCAGTGGCACAGCCTGGGCCCCCCTGGGACAGTACCCACTCTAGTAGCAGGCACTGCAGGTCGGATGCTGCGACCCCCTGCCCTCTCATCCAGGACACAGCAAATCCACCACATGAACCACTGCTACCTAGAGACTTCTCAGTTACCCCATGGATGCTGGACCCTGAATCCTGGAAATTCTCTGAGCAACCAGGACAATGAAAAGCTGCCCAGGTCCCTGGTGTTGCAGGTGTGCTCAGGGAGCTCCAGGAATCCTCTCAGCTGCCTCCCTGGAAGACTGGAGCACAGCAGGAAGGAACAGCCTGGGAGTGCCTCAGGGCTGAGGAGTCCCACGTCCTTCTGCCCTGCCTGGCCCCAAGTTGTGCAGTAGGTAAGAGTGGGCAAGAGCAGGATGTGTGGGGTAGGGGAAGTGGGATCAGAGGGCCAGGGATTTGAAACCCTAAATTCTGCGTGCTGACTTGCCTGGCTAGCAGCCCATTTCACAGATGAAGCAACTGAGGCTCAGAGAGCAGAAATGAGTGGCTCAAAGTGGGCAGGCTGACGGTGACAGAGCTGGGGCCACACACCATCTCTCTGGACTTTGAGTCCTGTGCTCTCTGCCCTGACCCATGATAACTCTCGGAAGGAAGTATACCCTTCCAGGGAGCTGGAAAGAGTGGGCGTACTAGGAGTAGGGTGGCAAAAGAAGGGATCCCTTAAAGCTCAGAGGAAATGTGAGAGATACGTGAGCAATGCCAAATGCCCTCAGTCTCCTGACCCATGTACGTAAATACTCAAATGCAGCCTCGTGTCCAGCACACACCTGAATATTCGTGATTATTGCTGCATGTGATTACACTCTGCACACAAACACACGTGCGTTTCCATCCGATACATCTGCCCAGTGAGCACTGCACCCAGCAAGGGGCCGAGCACACAGGCACACCCAAGAGCGCCATCCAGAGCTCTGCAGTGTGAAAGTACATGTTCTCTATCAAAACCCAGGTGTTTTCCCTCCTGCAGAGCTGCATGCAGGCAGCGGGCCTCTCCAGAGAGAGCTTCACCTCCATCAGGCACTTCTCACAGACAGTGGTGCCTCCCATCCACCCTGCGGAGTGCCCTCCCCAGGGACTCGGAGGGCACTGGGAGGTGCCCCTGGGAGCTGGGAGCTGGATACCCCGCAGGGGACCCTGATTGAAGGAGAACACATCGTTTCCACT